GAATGCATAACGCATCCCTCAGGGATTAATCAACGCCGAGTGCTTTATCCTTTATCCTTTTACTATCGCCACTTTTTTCATAAGCTGAAATGTTTCGCTTAAAAGTCAAAGCTAAGACCATCGTTAGATTACCGCTGTTTGTTACTTAATTTGCTCGATTCGACACTTAAATGACTGGTGTAGTGATAATGGTGGTGATGTGTAATGATTATGATGTAAGATACTTAGATGAATGAGACATCTTCAAGTGTCAAGCGAATCTCAGTACTTCTTCTATTTTTTCCATTCTCCTGATTACAACCGTTATCCGAGATGGTGGCCGAAGGTTGGCGTTGATTCGTCTGCAAATTGAGGATTGTGAACTTCTGTCTTCATTCATATTCCAGATTCTGGAGAAAGGTGCTATGTCATCGAATCTTGTGGAAACCCTCTTAAGTGGTCCAAAGTCTTCGCTGTAAATATTCGCCGAACCATAATTTTCTGGGTGATTGGGCTAACACGAGGGTCGTATAAAACTTTCATTCGGCGAACATTTCGACGCCTTCACATTCCTGAGAAGCGTGTTGCTCAGGGTCTATGGTCCACAGCTGGTAAATGTCGCGATGTGGGCGTTCGTTCTCGCATCGAATCGAATCCAGCAACGCGAGCACCGCTTGAATGAAGCATCTCACTTGACGGTGTCCTCCTACAAAGGACAGGTGTTGAAATACTGCCGTCTCCAATATGACCTAATTTGAGCGGGCAGTGCGCTCTGTAGCAGTCGCAACTTCATTTGTTGGCACATAGCGCGACAATCAATGCTTTAGAAATCGACTTCCACTTAATTTCGTCAACAATAATCAAAAATTTTCAATAATTTTTTTTGAAGATGTTGATTGCCACGCTAAATGTCACAAATAGAGCACCGACTGTTGCAGGCCGCATTGCCCGGTCAAAGGTGATCATATTGGAGTCGATAGTCGACCAACACCTCACCTGTGTAGAAGGACACCACCAATTGAGATGCTTCATACGAGTGTTGCTTCCGATACTGGATTCTACTCGATGCGAGAACGAACACCCACGTCGCGTCGTCGACCAGATGCGGACCATCGGACTCAGATGAATGGTACTTTGAGGAACGGGAAGGGCCGAAATGCCAACCGAATGAAGGTTCTATACCAACATCGTGTTACCTCAATCATGTAGAAAATTACAGGTTATTTCTGCGACCAGCTTTATATTCACCTTGGCATTGATCGAATCATTATTTTCTTCATGAGCAAACACAAGGTTTTTATTTTATTCTTTATTTATGAACAAGCTGACGTCTCGGCGGATATCGCCTTCCTCAGAGCCCGGAAAGGTCAAGTTGACCGCAACCTACCCAGCCAAACACCTCCATTACCAAACAGAGAAAATGGTAAACCAAGAGTTCAATCACATTGAACACAGAATAGTTTCTTTGCACGCTCATCGCCTTCTATTAGTCTTCCACTGGGTATGTCACGTGAAGATCAACAGCACAAATTTCATATGAAGCCGTAATGGGCCTCTCACATTAAAACATCAGTCTTAAGTAGTACTGTTTGAGAACACGTGTGATTACAGGGCATTCCTCCCTGATGTTCATTTCCGGCTTCATGGAATTTACCCGGAATGCTTCGAGAGCTTTGCGCGCCAGTGATTTCGACTCCTGTGCGAAGATGTTAACTTCTACTTCAAAATTTTCCCCGCTACATGTATATGTCGCCTATACGCGCCTAATGATTAGGCGCGTATAGGCGACATATACATGGTTTAACGTGGCTTAACTTTAAGTTCACCGACTAGGTGTTCTTTTATAGGGACGCGGAGCGGTTTTCGCTAATGTACTCGTTCTTGCAAGATTTACAAGGGGTCAGGTAATCCGTAGCTGAACTCATGCAATCATCCTCGCTACCGTCAGGGAAAATTGTGCAATTTTCCGTTGCACACAGACGGTCATACAGGCGGTTACGAACTGGCTTGCGTCTTGGAGTACTTGGTGGAATTTTGATTACGGTTACCGAATTCTCTACACCGGCCCTTCTTAAGCAGCGTTTAATAGCTGTGCTTATTTCATCTGAAATGAAGGGCAGGAGAAACAGGGTCTTGTTATCGCTAGAGTTGTCGTTTAGGGGCGTGGTTTTCCTCTACGCCTTTCCCGAGGGGCTACAGTTTCGTAGTCATTGGAAATGGCTATTTACTTCGCCAATTATACCCGGTTCTTCCTTCTTCTCTCTTCCTATACACACGCTGATGGCTGCTCGAAACATGTTTCTTACAAGCGCCTTTTTCGTGTATGAGGAGTGAGAGGAGAGGTAATAAGCCAGTATGTATTATTACTTGGCCTTCGGTAACACTTGGTGATGTGACCGTGAATAGGTTAATTTGAACATTTCCAGTGGAAATGGAAGGCAGTTTTTCTTCCGTTTTTCTCGGGTAAACTTAATGTAGTCTGCCTGTCCATTCAATAAGCATTTGTCCACCTCCTATTCTGTGGAGCAGACGACAAAACAATCATTCGCATATCTACGGCAGAGAAATGGCCGGAGTTCGGTTACTGGTGCGTCCACCTTAGACAAAAATGGAGCCGCATGGCTTGCTGCTGACCGATGTTCCATTGCCAACTCTCTCATTTGTGCGCAATACTTTCCCGATCATGTAATGATTGACCAGTTCAGGAACTTCTTTAAGGGTAGCAGTAATTGAAATACCAACGAGCATTGTGAGACGCCAGGTGGTTCGCAAATCGCTTTTATGACAGCCTACGTACAACTAAATATTGCATAATATGTACTAGCTGTAGAGACGGTGATTGCATGAGTTCTGGCACAATTTATCTGATGCCTTATAAAGCGCACGGAACGAATACATTGGCGAAACGGGTAGACCACTCTGCTTCCGTGTAAAAGAACACCTAGTCGGTAAATTCGAAGTTAAACCGAATACTCCACTAGGTGCGTATAGGAAACATGGATATAACGGGAAGGTTTTTGAAGTAGGAATCGAAAGCCTCGCATAGTAATCGAAAATACCGGTGCGCAAAACTCTCAAAGCGTTCCAGATAAATTCCAAGCATCCGAAAATGGACCGCAGGGGGGAATGCCTAGCAGTCACACGTGACCTTACCCAGTATGTAAGGCTGTTATTTTAAGGAACATTACGCTTCCACATGAACCCCGAACGATTGGTCTCCACGTGACATATTCTGTTGAAGACTCATGGGAAGCAGCGAGTGCTTGAAGAAGCTATTTTTGTTTAACGTGACTGAAATCCTGTTTTAGTATATTCTCTGTTTGTTTATGGCGGTGTTTTGTTACATAGAATGCAGTCAAATTGACCTTTTCGGGTTCTGAGAAAGGGAAAGTCAGCCGAAACCTCTTATTCATAAATAAAGAACAAAATAACGAACTCGTGTTTACTCATTAAGAGCATAGAGAATTACTAGTTATTGTTACTGAGGTTCAACGAAAGCTAAGATATTTGCTGCCCACTTGGTGGGGAAAGAGACTTTCTACCTCTTTACTCTGATTTTTCCGGAATAACAGCGATTCCAGTTGATACAGCGATAACTGAAACCTTCTGACTTTCGAGTACTATCAAACAAGCCAAATCTTCTGTTTTCTTTATTTATTCATATAACACGCTTTCGTTTATTTTGCTACCACACCGTTGCGTCACATTCGGTCCGTCTAGAATCCATCATCGACAGATGTCTTCAGATTTTCTTTGTGGATTCGACTTGAAGACTCTTCATTTTTCAAAACTGCAGTTAAATAATGGTCGAGTTGATTACTGGAATAGCTCTCCCAAGGCGTCACCAGTTCCTAGCCACAGGCAGTTATCAGTTTTTCTGCATTAAAGGAATGGAAGCTTTCCATAAAAGTGGGGACCCAATTTTTCGTCTGGCCGGTATTGGGCCTATTTTATCCAGAGCTAGGTTGAACCAACGACGAGGTATCCGTTGTATTTCATCGCTAACCGTCGCATTTCTTGTGTCCGCTTCACATATTAACTGATTATTCTTCGAGCAACACGAGTGCACACAAGTGAAATCTTTACTCGTTCCTGTCCCTTGTCAGATCACGCGCGTTCCACTTGTCGAAATGAAAAAGGAAACGCCACACCTTTTATTAGGAACTTTGCTTCTTGCTCATGACGATAACGTAAGCTAACGTCAGCTTTCCCGGTTATGTTTGCTTGGTTTAGGTTTTCTCTTATCCAGTCATTGGGATAGAAAGGTCGAACTTTTGAAATAGGCACCGAACTTCTGCTGAGCATCGGAGTTTTGCACTCTGAAACTATCTTCTAACCAGAATGAGACCATTAGTCATCCGCTTTCGCTTATCTGATCTCTTCTCTGATCCATAATATATTATCATCTTCTATAAATTCTATCTGCAATTAAAGATTGGCTCTATAGGTCAGTTTACTACCCAAATAAATGAAAACAGTAACACATCAACAGTTACATGTTTGAATTTTTGTTCAAAACGCAACAATACGATTGCTCCAGTTGCCTTCTTTTAAGAATTGTTCAGCTCCCTTTCTGTTCCCTTCACACAGCGTGGATCTAATCCTCTTGGTGAATGTGTGCTGAATTAAACACTTATGTTTTTTTAATGAATTCGTTTTCAAACAATCAATAATCGAAGGATATTGTGGAAATATAATGGCAATAAAAGGTTACTCTAAAAATACTAGCAAAAGTGCCAAAATAATTCCATTTATTACTTTGTTCTCGTCGTCCACTCAGTGATAAGGAAACACGATGGGCGCTTTTCACGTGATAAGAGCCGATTAATCTTTAGAAAGGGAAGAAGCAATAGGCTTCATATGTTGGCAGATGCTTCCTTATTTCGTATGCTCCTTCTATTTACAGTTTGTAATTTTTCGCACTGTATTGTTTTTTACATTTTATGCCACTTTTTTTCGAAATTAAAGGGTATACAACGAGTTATTTTGTGGACTAAGTTGCTTCAAGTTGAAGGAGCGAAATGAACGATGACGAAGAGGAAGCGAACAAGAGGCTAAGGGTGCGCTTCACATAGTTTTCTTCTCTCTCCCAATTACTAAAGTTGGGATCTATAAAGTTTAAAAAGCGTTGGGGTTTGCTTTCAACCATTTCAGAGGAAAAGAAGGATGGAAAGAAACGGTGGAGAACATAGAGGTTTGATATTTTACAACAACAAATGCTTATAGATTTTCACAACTTGCGGAACGGCATACTATGCGTCTGAACAGTTGATTAGGTTTTCAACGAATTAAGCTTTTTAATGACTAACTAATTTTGGCAGGGTCAAAATGGCATTTGCGCCAATCTTGAAGCTGTCATGCAAAAACTACAGTGGAATAAAACGAAAATGAAAGTTAATGGTCGGCAGTTATTGTTGCTTTGCTGATAACATTGTTCTAGAGCATTTAACACTAGTCAAGCCGAGGGATTGTGCGCTGATTTTCATAACACCTTAAGATGACTGGTCTTCGATTTAAGCTGAGAACGGTGCTGTTCATGAAGATTTGATCCGTTCCTATTGTTTGACTAACTCTGAAGCAGACCAACATCGTCGAATGTAGCTTACCTGGACTGGGTGGTCAACACGATGTGCATCCAGATTGAAATATCACTATGATGAATGACTTAGCCTCAGTCCTGGAAAAGAATGTGGAGAAACTCACCCGTGCGAGAACATCAAAGAGAGGCGGTATACGACCAAGAAACGCCGGCCATGCGCTCATCTTTTCGATCTCTCGTTTCCTCTTATCCTGTCGTCCTGGAAAGCTTTATGTTAAATGAGCAGAACGAAAGCTCCTTCAACGTTATCGAACGTGCTATCGATACAGTGATGCTATGAGAGTCCGTATCATGAAAGAGGGGATGCGATTTTCGAACCTACGACCACGATTGAAAACCGGAAGCACAATAGTATCAAAAATCAGCCTTCACACGTTATGATCACTGACTCGATAGTTAAACTTCTTAGACGAAATATTTAGTACTTTCCCAACAGTTCATCGCCTCATCGTGGTGGCCAGGAAGTGCTCCTGGATGTCGAACTGCAATGTAGAGTGGGAGGATTCATCTTCGGGCTGAGTATCCCAAACAAAAAAGGAGTACGGTATTTCGATCAGAAAGCCTAGCTGAGAGTAAACTAATACCAGGATCCGTCACCGTCCTGGTATCAAACTAGTCGAGTGGTAGCAAATTTCCCTCTGACCCACAAGGGCGGCGACTGTCTGTGGTGATGACGGCCTGAGACAGACTTTGACCAGGCTGACCTGGGGACTCCAGGGAATCATAATGCCTTCTCCGAATAAATCTCCGAAAAGTGCAGAATATGCTGGGCCTGTGCAACCAGTGAGGACAGGCCGTCCAAGTATCCAAGTAAATAAGTAGTGTTTAGTATACTTCGAGCTCCTAGAGTGACCGTTGTCCTGAAATCACTGTCTACTACTTCTCTTAAGAAGAATACACTGGAAAGTCTGAATTATGTGACAGTTTTATTATCACTTGAGCTTTTTCACTAATACCCTGTAATCGAAGGCTTACAATAAAGGACAACTGGTTGAGCAATGCTTTGGAGCCACACTTTCAACTTCATTAAGTTGCAGAGGTGATTGAATGGATATCTAACCTTTGCAATTATTTTCGGGAATATGCCGACGTTTCAAGTCAGCGTTTTCTTTTTTCCAAACAAATCTGTCACAAATTTGCCGATCCGTGAGCTATGGGAGCTTGGTTACTACAGGTCGCGAAATCGAACTAATGAATCTATCCGCATTCCAGGTCCCCTCTTCAAAGTGCTATACACGCACCATCCTTTAATAATTGCACTCAAAAAAATTCTTGAACAATAACTGCTTATTAAAAACGTCTTGTGACATTTGCTGAGTTTTACAAAGCATAAAAGCATGGATTACAGGCGTCGTCGGCTCTGCTGCCACCAGACGATCGAATAAGAAGCTCGACGCTTATGCTGAAATACATGCAACTTGATGCTGACAAAGTCCTCTCGGCATATGGGCGTTTTGGTAGATACCAGGTCAGAGTGGAGTTTTTCTAAGATTCAGTTTCTATCTGTCGAGGTGCTAAATACAATTCTCGGGCAGGCATCTTTGAATTTATATTTATGTTATTTTATACGTGGTTATTTTACTTTCCTCCCAACGGTTTACCGCCTTATAGTGGCTGCGAGGTGTTTCTGGGTGTCGGACTGCGATACATAACGGGAGGATTCGTCCCCCGGCAGGGTCTCCTAAGCTAGGAAGGCGTCCAGCGTTTCCATTAGGAAACCTAGCTAAGAGTAAACCAATATGTCAGGATCCACTACTGTCCTGGTACCAAAGCCGCGTGCTGGCAAACCTCCCTATCATCCACAAGGGCGGCGACGGCCTGTGGCGGTGACGACTTGGGGCAAACTTTGGCCAGGCTGCCACTCGGGATTCCAGAGAACCACAATGCCTTAACCAGCAGATCTCTGAAAAACGGTGATTTTGCTGAGACTCGCACAACCAGTGAGGATGGGCCGTTTAAGTATCAGGTAAGTTTAACGTTTTGTTTTCTGCCTTCTATAATTTTCTTGGCAGGTTACTAAGCGAAATACAACCACAACGTTGCTGAGATATGGTGTGGTGGTGAACGCGTTACTCCCCGGAAAGGATAATAGCGCGTTCGTTCCCCACCATAGACACCTGCGGTCCAGAGTTTTGCAAATATCTCAGCAACGTTGTGGTTGTATTTCGCTTAGTAACCTGCCAAGAAAATTATAGAAGGCAGAAAACAAAACGTTAAACATTGTGATTTCAACTACAGCCATAGCTTAACTGGGTTCTATGCCGATTTGCGCTCCCCAGATCAACCCCGCTGACGGGTGATTGCTGTGGCAAAAAGATCGATAGAAATAGCTGAGAGACGTGCGAAACAAAGGGCCCGCATGGTGTGGTGGTGAACGCGTTACTCCCCGGAAAGGATAATAGCGCGTTCGTTCCCCACCATAGACACCTGCGGTCCAGAGTTTTGCAAATATCTCAGCAACGTTGTGGTTGTATCAGGTAAGTATTTTACTTTTTTTTCCGTATCTTTCAGGCGAATTTTGGCAGCGAGAGATTTCAGGAGGAATAATTGCTAAGAATCAGTAAAAAATAAAGGCGAAAATTTCGTTAAGAGCTGGAAAACTTAGAGTTTTAAGCTATCGAAAAGTTTATACCGTGTTGAGAGTGAAGTAATCCGCTATCATTGAATTAACCCGATATGACGTTCTTGCTGTAAATAAGTTTATTTGATTTTTCGCTTAAGGTGTACATTGTCGTGAGCAGCAAATACAAAGTTAACATTGTGATTTCAACTTCAGCCGCGACTTAACTGGGTTCAATCGCGATTTGGGCCCGCCAGATCAATCCCAATGACGGGTGATTGCTGATGGCACTGATAGATAGAAAACTAGTTAAGAGAAAGGCCACACGATGGACACGCATGGTGTGATGGTGAACGCGTTAGCTCCCGGAAAGGGTAATTAATAGCGTGTTCGTTCTTTTTTGCAGACACCTACGGTCCGGAGTTTTCCAAATATCTCAGCATCACTGTGAATGTTATCCGTTATCGTTGAATTAACCCGATTTAACTTTTTTGCTATAAATAAATTTGTTCGATTTTTCGCTTAAGGTATACACTAAAACACATTCTATTACACATACTCAATGCTAGCGATATTTTGAAAAATTTACAAAGCTGTTTACACTAACTACGCTTTTTTGCACATTTGTGCAACCCGAAATCACATGATCTGCGGTCTTCACAATTCTCTTCGGTTTACTGTGTCGCATTCGTTGTCCACGAAGGTCTCTGGACTGTCGCTCAGCTTCAGCTGCAATTTGAGCGCTTTGTATTTTTCACGAAAGTATTTGAATGCTTGCCTGAGTAATCACCTGGAGCTATGAGACAGCTCTTCTACTCGCAGGTCTTTTTCGTAAGCAGTCATCGCTTTTCCTGGGTCGGAGAGAGTTTTTACCAGACACCCCCGATACCAATTAGTCGACTCTGGAAGAATGAGAGGCTTGGATGATCCTGTTAATGGTCGAAGCGAATGCAATCTGTGCATTAGTTCACAACATCTCAGCCTCTGCGCTACCCCGATCTGTTAAAAAATAGATAGATAAAAACGTTCCATAAAAGAAGGAAACAGCCAGAAGGAAAAAGAAACAGAGTTTAGCAAAGCTGTTAAGCTGAACTGAACACAATTTTCTTATCATATTCTGTTTTGTCAAAGATATCCGTAATCTTTTTCCTTTCAGATGGTCACCTACCTCATTACAAATAGTGTACATATTTTATTCGCTATTAATATGATGGTAATGCCGTTCATAACCGAAGATCCGGAATTCGAGTGTCAAATTACCCCACCCGATGGAGTGCAATGGGTAAATGGCTTTTTCTCATTCGGTGTTGGTTTTTATTCAGAACAAATACTGCTGAAGTTTCAAATATGCAGCCTGATATATTAAGCTTCGTAAGTTACTAAGGAGTGTATTCAAAGATAATACTTACTTGGATTGTTGGACGGCCCGTCCTCACTGGTTGCGCAGGTCCCAGCATAATCTCCATTTTTCGGAGCTTTGCTGGTTTAGCTACTGTGTTTCTCTGGAATCTCGAGGCCAGCCTAGCCGAAGTCTGCCCCAGATAACATCTACCAAGGTAGTCTACCATCAAAGCCAATATTAACACAATTTCTCTAAACGGCGCTAAGTTTACCGTTCTGTTAAATTTCGTCTTCCTCTGAATGGTCACAAATCTTGAATTTAAAATTCGTGTCAGTTTTTGAAGTGGAAATGTTTATGGTATTGTTACTTTGTTACTATATTTCTGTTATAACATCGTGTATGTTCATGCTGTTTGTTTCCTTCAAATCCAGTTGTTCAAGGCAACATATATTTCGGTCTGTAGAAACCTTCATGAAAATCACTTGATTATACAAGGCTGCAGAAAAAGTACAGACTCAGTTGTTCCACTGTGTAGCAGGAAGCGTGTAGAGCAGTTATTGGAAGTGCACTACAATCCATGCATAAATATGGAAATTCGATTATTGGTTCGATCTCGCGCAGAGACGCTTAAGCCGCTCATTTTCCAGGGCGAAAAATTCGCACTGTACTTGTCTGAATGGATTAAAACACTGGTCTAGTACATCAGATACATTATTAGGCTTCCATAAGTCCTTTCCTTGGTCAGATATGCGTTCGATCACTTTTACAACACTACGAATGGAATCACAATGTTATACTTTTTCTTTATTTTCTGCCTACTATAATTTCGCGGCAGGGTACTAAGCGAAATACAACCACAACGTTGCTGAGATATTTGCAAAACTCTGGACCGCAGGTGTCTACGGTGGGGAACGAACGCGCTATTGTCCTTTCCGGGGAGTAACGCGTTCACCACCACACCATGCGGGTCCTTTGTTTCGCCTGTCTCTCAGCTATTTCTATCGATCTTTGCCACAGCAATCACCCGTCAGCGGGATTGATCTGGGGCGCCCAAATCGGCATAGAACCCAGTTAAGCTGCGGCTGTAGTTGAAATCACAATGTTATACCTTTTTTATTTTCTGCCTGCTACTCTGCCTTTTTTTATTTTCCTCGGAAAGGACAATAGCGCGTTCGTTCCTCACCATAGACACCTGCGGTCCAGAGTTTTGCAAATATCTCAACTACGAATGGAGTCGAATGCATGCTCCCTAAAATCGACATGTATATATGCATATACATAATATATATTATGTATATATTACACGCTCATATATATAATATATATAGCATATATATATATATATATATATTACATGTTCATTATTCATCCATTTTCCAGGAGTACACCATAGTAGACAAGTGCACAGTGATGGATAGTAACAACTGGACGCTCTCATGTAGCAACGTTCCGGGCTCAAAGTGAGTTCGATCTACTTTAGTTCGACCTTTTTCATCTTCCTAATAACTCTAGTGTAACAAATGAGTACTATTCGAGATCTACAGAAGTCTATATAAACTTGTAACCTTACCAGTAGTAGATTTCCACAGACCCAGAACTAAAATCCAACTGATTTTCTGATCACTCAACTAGGCTCTTTCACATGGAAAAACGTGGAGGCGAATGGATAGGAAGTGGTTATAGCCAATGCATCAAAGCACACGGTCTCGTTTGCTCATCTGTTCACGAATTAATATCAAAGCGTACCACCACTTATTTGTTAATTACACACAGGTACATTTACAATGATACGAATCACGAATCGTTAGCGTCTGAATTCAACTTGGTTTGTGACAACTACGAATCAGTGGAACACGGTGCTTCAGTATTCATGCTCGGTACGTCTATTTCACTCTATTTCACGAGATTAACTCTTAACTGAACACTTATGTCAGAAACGAACAACAGCAACCTTTTTTAACCCTTTGCCACAGAAATTTTTCCACAAAACTCATGGATACCAGTCTATTAGATTAGTTTATCACTTTTTCATTGGTTTGCATTCCTTAAGTATACGACGATCTTTTCACTTTTCTCAAAAGCTGAAGCAAAATTACCAAATCGTTCACGGTAACAAGGGTTTAGTGATGAACAATGGGAAAAATCATGAGGAAATAGTTGTGGTAAACTAACTAAAATAAACTAACTAATGCAGGGCCTTCTACCGCTTTCACGCAAGCCTTAAGGTGGACGATACCTAATCACTATGCCATGTAACCTTAAGTGGATAAAGCATTCGGCGTTGATCGATCTCTAGGAAATGCTCTATGCATTCGACTTTATCGAGCATTCTAGACGTCGGTAATGATGGACATATGCAATGAATTGTGGTGGCCTATCGATGCATCAATTAAGTACTGCTATCCTCTCAGACAAGTCTCGTATCAAATTTCCGACCTCATGAAATGGAAGCCTTGATGAGTTTGGAGCGTACGATCGGACCATTAACCGATCCAGTGCGTACTGTAAGGCACCTCTAACCACTGCGTACACGCCGCTTCTTGTCGCCTTATCGCCTCAGTTAATTATCGACTAACTTGAGCAAGTACCAGTAAAGTTCGATCTCCTCCACTAAGCTCCCAACCTGTTCAATCAGCCCAGCTCTTTCTGGGACATGAAAAGCATCGGACTTTTTTTTAGGATGCTCCCTTTTTAACTCTTTTATTTACTGCCTTTTTCTTCTTAATGGCAGGGTATGTTGTGAAATATAACTCGTATGAAGTGCTGAGATATTTGCAAAACTCCGGACCACAGGTGTATGCAGTGGAGAACGAACACTCGCTGTTGTCCTTACCGGNGCTCCCTTTTTAACTCTTTTATTTACTGCCTTTTTCTTCTTAATGGCAGGGTATGTTGTGAAATATAACTCGTATGAAGTGCTGAGATATTTGCAAAACTCCGGACCACAGGTGTATGCAGTGGAGAACGAACACGCGCTGTTGTCCTTACCGGGGAGCAGCGCACTTCACCACTACACCATCCGGGTCACACTATGACCTTCCCGGTAAGGACAACAGCGAGTGTTCGTTCTCCACTGCATACACCTGTGGTCCGGAGTTTTGCAAATATCTCAGCACTTCATACGAGTTATATTTCACAACATGCTCTCTGTTTAGTTTTTCTTTTCGGCGAAAACGCAGCTATGAAGGACTCACCTGGCTCTGCCATGAAGTATTTTTGCTCTTAGTTGGACATTTGGTTAGTGACGTCGAAGTTCTCAACCTGGATAGGTTTCCTTAAGCAACAGATGAATTCGGTGCACTGCATATCAGTTAGTTCGAAATTCAATCTTACCCTCTGCGCACGATGAAGTAGTGAACCATTAATGAAATAATGGACCATTAACAAAGTGTTAAGAGTGAGTTGGTCAGGCATACGCTATGCATTCAACTCAATTCATTGCTTCGTAGAGGTGACTAGATGTGACTGCATGCATACTTGATGGCTTCAGTGGCTTGTGTGAGTCCAATCAGCACCAAGTAAGGGATTTCACATTTCCAAGCAGGCAAATCCGGTGCAATAGCCGAACCCGAAGAGATAGCGGCTTTAATAAACCTAGGTCGAAGGATCGAGCCAACGACTCTGTGTGCATTGAGCTCACCTTTAACACTGCGATACCCCAGTAAAAGGATCCACTACTTAAAGAAAAAATTTCATGGCTATAAAAAACGCTATAATAATACTAGGTACAGTATGGAATAATTATTTAGAGTTAATGACAGCTCTTCTATTTGAGGTGGTATGATAGTGGCTCCGATAATCACTCAACTGTCTGACTTGTTTGGTCGCCGTCTCACCTTCCTCATTCCACTGTATGTAGCAGTCATATCGAACCTCATCTGCGCCGTAGCACCAAATTATGTCATCTTTCTGATTTTTCGATTTTTCGCAGGAGTTGCCACCACGGTAAGGAAAATATTTTACCTGTCGCTTTCTTCCTTGTGCTTAGCTATTCCTCATAGACTTGAAAGGTTAAATCTTATCTTTGTTCAATATTCCGGATGGAGGTTTAATAACAAATTTGGGGGAGTTTTTCTTCAAAGTGCGTAAGCACCAGGAGTAATCGTTTTCTAGGTTTTGTTAAATATTTCTTAATCGACTTGTACTCGTTACTTCATCTCATGTACCGTCCTCATCACTGACGAGATTGGAGCATGAATCATTAGCTCTTCTATTAAATTCTTGTAACTTTCTTTACAGGGATTCTCAGTCATCGGATTTGTTCTATGCATGGAATCTGTCGCGTTGGAATTCCGTTCACTAATACCCTTCATGGGGAGTATCACCTGGGTTATTGGGTATGTCCTTAATGCTGAAGATATGAATAACAATTCGTTATGATCCTTTTTTGGTAATGATACGCACTACTAGTAAAAACAAAATTTACAAAATGCTATCAGTATGCAAAAGTAAATAATCTAACGAAATTAATAGCGGGTATAAAAATTTTATCTTAATCTTAATAACGGTAGTGGTTGGAGGCGCCACTGTGACACAAACGCGGAATCGACCCCCGAGCCCATGGCCCACCAAGCCTTCCATCTCTTCCGGGGTCCTGAAATTGGTACCAGACTTGTCAGGGAGAATGGCGGCACTGGTTCGATACATCGGCAGGCCACCGAGAGTTATTGTAAAGGCCAGATATGCATTCAGTCACCTCCAACTATACTTAATGAAGTCGAATGCACGGCACATCTCTCAGAGATTGATCAACGCCGAGAGCTTTACCCTTTATCCTTATAAAAATCCTTCCGCATTGACAGATCTTTTAGAGATGAGCCACTCATTCGATTCTTCTAAGTATCGCAGAGATTGCATGTATATTTACCCTGTACAGCGACATGAGGTAGTCAATATCCTACCTTAGGCCAATGTTTTGTACTCTTAGATAGGTATTGCACCAATTTATCGACACTGGAACGATAGACGGCCCTGTTTACCTATTGCCGTGAATCGCGCCGGATACCATGTGTGTGATGTATGGCACCTCTATGCATTGCGGTGAACGTTCTGCACTATAAAATGTCACCTGTCGTCTCGTTAGTGGTCAAGCTGTGCACAAGTACAAAGCACAATTTTTAAAAATTCAGCATTTCACGAGAAGTTTCTGACAATTCCGGGCACTATACATTTACAAGAGTTCTTCTACTCTTAAGCCGATTCCTCCACTGTTTTGAAAGAAGGACTAACACAGTGATTGCTCTTCCACCCTTTATTTTTATCTCGATGTTCGATTTAACACTGTACTCACGATTGTCAGCACTTATACTCGAGTTTCCAGTTACGTCTCAGCTGGTTTGCTTCGGTTGGTTATCACAAATTGGAGATGGCTTTACTTTGCCGTGTCCGTCCCTGGACTTCTAACTATTCCATATTACTGGTAAGTTTAACACACTTAACGACCGACATGCACTTTGTACAATGCAGTTGGTGCAAAGCAGTTATCAGTATTTAAATGGCTCTCATGAAGCTTAAACCAAATATCTCAGATCATACTGAACACTGCTGATTGGAATAGAATCCATTGGAATCTCAGGCTTCCGCCTGTTTTCGAAAACTCCACTTCTTTCACTCTTCAAGAAACAAACAAAATCCGCCAAAAATAAATGTTTACAAGGAAATAAAATACTCGTGAAATTTGAACACAATCACTACAGGATGATACCGGAATCACTTCATTGGCTCATCACAAACAAAAAGGACAAAGATATCTCAAGGTTCGTTACAGCCTTAGCTTTTTAAAGGTGGAATTTTCCAGTTTCGTTTTCGTTTTTGAGAATCGTAAAATGGTAGACTTTCCAAAAAGTAAGGAACAACTTGCAATGCCATATCTAAAGCTTGTCTTGAAACGCAGTGTCCTAGGCATGAGGTCATACGCTACATGAAATCACTACTGATACGGTATCCCTCCCTTCTATTTCTGTAAAGATGCAAAGAACCAAATTTGAAATTGTAGTGTTGTTCCACTTATTGTCGCTGTTTATTGCAAGAAGTGGTGGGTTACTCACAGCAGATGTGAAGAAGGATTATGCGGAATAATAGATAATAAATAATTTGTAATAATAATAATAAATAATAATAACAAAATGATAATGATAATAAATTTCGCTTAGATAACAGAACTCCGCATATTGTGGAGATTCCCGCACTTCTTTCACTAACCTCGTTGTTTTTATTGCCCATTGCCCAGGGTTATCGAATTTTCCTCATGGTTTGGGTTCTGCTAGCGCATTTCGTCTTCTCCGTAGATGCCGCTGAATGATGGTCCCGTAGATTTCTGGAATCTGGGATAATTCCAGTAAAGTGCTTCCAGCTCCTCTACACAGAGGGTCACAAGTGTTTGTGGATCAGGTGGTGCTTTTCCTAGGCAGGTCTGGTGCAACTTTGCCGATTCTGATGAATAGGAGGTTTGGTTGAACCGGAGCCGGGTTGAATTAGTGAAAATAAGCTTAATATAGCACAGCATCACAAAGTGCTTTTGGAGCTAAATGTCGCTCTAAAGTGTGTAAGGCTCGTTCAATTTCCTTCTAAAGTGGGAAACTTAGATCAATCAATACCTCCTTTCACTGATGAGCTAACATGAGTTACATTGATCATTAGTACTGAGGTTAAAGAAAAGTCAGTTTGTGAGGAAAGCACAGAATTTTGAGGTCGCTTAATGAGGCTTCTACAGTGCTTGCTTGATACTTTATTGGCATAATTGTCGAAATGCAGAGATATCATCCCACTGCCTATTAAAGTTTTAACACCCTTTTTATTTCTAAAGTCTGAGCAATAAGATTGTTAATCCTATCATATTACAGTTACATTCGCACTTCGTCTCGTTTCAACGGCGTTGAAATTCCCTTACAAGAATGCAAATCGAGTAACAATATAGAGTCAGAGAGATTGAAAAGAACTGTTTTCGATATGCTCAAGAGCCCTGCCTTAGTACTTCATCTCGTTCTGAACTCCTACATTCTGTAGGTTTTCTTTCTGCTTTAATGAAACAATCTTTCCACTATAGCAAAAAGAGACCTTCTCTGAAAGAAATCATGTCAATGCAACATTTCTAAAGAGAAAGGTGAAGTGATCGGTGTTGAAAATTAGCATAGGCATACGCCATGCATTCACTTCCATTCGTGGAATCGTGAGAGCCTTTGAATGCATATTTTGCAAGTGCAATGACTTGCAGAGCATTATCGATGTATCAGGTCAGAGTGATTATCTTGTAAGACAAGTTTGGGGCTATTTTGACAGCTCTAGAAGAACGAACAGTTGGTTTCACCGAAGCGCAGAGTCGAACCTAGAACCATGTGTGTATTGCAGGGCACCTCTAACTACTGCATTACACACGCGCAAGGCTCAAGAATTCCTTTCTAAAATGAATTCACTAATGTACAGCTGTACAATTGTTTTTAACTCGACAGCATCCATGCAAAAGTCGACTGGCATCGCCTTACGAGAAGTTCGGCTGTTAACTGGAAAGAAATTATAGCTGAGATGTTTAAAAGGAACAAAAAAAAATTTGAAAAAAACTGTAAGAAGAAGAAATTTCAGTGTTGTGATGAATGGAACGTATTGGGCTCTGTCATTGTTTTCGACAGAGCTTAGTGATGACAAAATGACCGGTTTCTTTCTCTCAGGTCTCGTTGAGTTACCCGCTGGACTCGTATCTATCGTTCTTCTGGTGAATTCAACAAAAAATCATATTAGCTTTCATATTTTCCGTCAGCTATTAATAATCTACAGTTTTCAGATCTATTTAGATAGAAAGACGGTCTCATTTTTATCACTTGTCCTACAAGCATTCTCGATGGTGTGTGCACTATACTTGCCGTGTAAGTGAATTATTCGTTTAAAGGACAGTTAAACATTCGAAAGAAGAAGCAAAAAATAATGATGAAAGAACAACTCGCAAACTGGTGCGACTTTTCGAAAGCGAATTCAGAGGGAATCTCTGTGCTAACTTCCCATTCATAACTTCACTGATGTTCAGATTCAGAATGCTGAAGGTCACCATAAGTAAGTGGATCTGTTATCGCCTAAGACAAGCTTGATATAAATTTTCTGACAAAGAAAAAATGGAAGACCTCGTTTGCACATTGCCTGGAATCGAGTGAATGACCAATTCTGTATTGGAGGGTATCTCTTAGCATGCACTACAGATACACCCATGTAAAGTATAAGCTGATATACCTCAAAAATTTCATATTTCTGCGTTAATTCATTTCGTTCACACCACCCTGCTTTCGCATCTACTGTGCAGATCTCAAAATTTGCATTGGATCCGTTTCTTGAATCGCATGAATCATCAACGAAGGTTTTTGTGCTCGAAGATTTTCCCTTCGTCATAAGTGTCGTTGAATGTCGTCCAATCGATTCCCTCCGGATAACTGAGGTAGTCGGGGTAGAGCGTTCCTAATTCGATTACAGAGAACGAACTCTTTCCACAAAGCGTCATACCAAGTTATTAACCCCGGATGGATGAGAAGTTTGGTGAACCCGGGGCGGGGTAAATCAGCACCGTGCTCACGATAATCAGCGTCACTACCACTGCGCCACTCTCGCCCTGTAAAATCCATGAAAAAGCAAATAGTACTAGCGTAATACTCCTGTGTTTAATTTATACTGCCGAATCATTGCGCGACTTTGCAGTGAGTAAGAAAACGGCAATGATCTTTCCTCTGATGGCGAAAATCTTCAACTCGATTGCTTGGTCGTCACAACCACTTCTTTATACCGAATCCACACCAACATCTGTACGAAATGTATTTTGTGGCGTGGCCGGATTTTTTGGAGACTTCGGTTCGGTACTGGCTCCATACTTGAAACGATTGGTGAGTATTAAAAAACATAGACTTGTTAGTAAATAAATCCAACAATAACATAAAGCATTCTTAATACTATATAATCTTTCTTTAATAAGCTAACTTACTTGTTTACCTGGATGCTTGGCTGGCCCGTCTTCATTTGTTGTGCGGGCCCCATAATAATTCCTATTTGCTGGTTTAGACAATGTTGTTCCCTGTAGTTTCGATGTCAGCCTAGCCAAGGTCTTCCTCAGGTCATCACAACTGCAGCCAGTCGCAGCCCTTGTGGATCAGAGGGAGATTTACCACCATGCGACTTTGATACCAGGACGGTGGCGATTCCTGGCGTTGGTTTACTCTTAGCTGGGTTTCCGGATGGAAATCTCCGACTCATTCTCAGCTTGGGAGGCTGGGAAAACCAATCCCCGCTTTACATCCCAGCTCGACACCCAGGAACGCTTCTCAGCCACGATGAGACTTCAAACCGTCGGGATAGGTAAGTTAACACAAGGTTGCTAAAAACGTTAACCGACTAATGCTTCAACGTCTTCGTCTTCTTCACAGCCAGATTGATCCGAGTAGATTGTCCTCATCCAACTGTTCAAAGAAAAACTGGTTTGGTTTTGTATTTTCAAACAGTGATAGAAGATCATAGAACACTAGTTTTATAGAACATATATCAAACTAGATTTTAGAACATTCTGATTTTACTGAGGATCTACTCTGCCCACTAAATAGCAATCCACCATATTGCAGGAAACGATCCACAAATCCGCTCCCGCCCTGGTCATCGCTGCTATGTCAGTCACGTCCGCATTGATCGTTCTTGTGCTACCAGAAACGAAGGACAAAAAACTACCTGAAGATATTGATGACCTTGATCCAGGACCACTGGTGCGATGGATGACTAAAAATAAGAAGAAGAAGAAGAATGATTCACAGAATGACGATGTGAGCAAACTTACTCCGTAAGAAAAAACAAATTGTCATTTTAGGCAGTATAAAATAGTTTCATTCCTTTGTCCATAACACTACTGGTTCATAGTACTATCATCATTTAGATGGAAGTATGAGAAATTGGGGACGTGTGGCGCAGCGTTTGGAAGCGCTGCGGCGACACACACTTGGAATCGTTCCCGGCACCCATGACCCACCATGCCTTTCATCCCTTCGGGGTCGGCAAATTGGTACCAGACCTGTCTAGGAGTATAGCACCACTGGCTCGATACATCGGTTGGTCACTGCGAGTCATTGTAAAAGTCAAATATGCATTCAGTCACCTCCAAACGATACTTAATGAGGCCGAATGCATGGCGCTTCCCTCAGGGATTGATCAACGCTGAGAGCTTTATCTTATCTTTACGAGAAATTGATAGAAAGTGTATTCATTACTTTTCTTATGTATACTCTAGGGGAAAAAAATTTTTATTCACTACAAATGATTCAGGACTATCCACACTTTTCCCTTTGCTTTTAGTAGATTTCCCTCCCCTCCTAACAAACCTTGGTTATCCATTTAACGCCATTGTTAAGACTAGCTTCTCACATGGAATCTAATAAGAGTTAGCATAACATCTTCCTCTTTAGATCTCGGCGATGAAGATGACGGCTGCTTCAAAGGGTGAATCTGCCAGTGAAAAAGTTACATTTGAAGCATAACTCTAAAGGACATTCTAGTATCACTCAATTCCCAAGCTCCTCAATTCGTGAAAGTTATGGGAGATTTCTTGCATCTGTTAGTTTCCAGATCCACACTGCTGTGCCCTAGTTTGCGTTAACGTTGTTATCTATTTGATCCTTATCTAATTTCAAGTTGTCTACAAATAGATGAACTAACCAATGTATGATGACGCAAAGCATCAAAAATTCTTACCAATAAGATATGTGCTCGGAATCCTTCGGTTTTTTAACTTCTACATCACACTTTGTTATTTGCGAAAATTACATATATATATACGTATGCGTATACAGTACAGCTGCACTGACTCACAGACTCGAGACATACACATACACATACACATATACACACACACAATAGATTTCGAAGATCAGAGCTTCGTGTTCCGACTAGATGCTGTGTAAACCGGTTATATTTCAGAAGACATCGTTCAAGCATTCTGTACATACGCAGTATTCTTGACGTGAGTGAATTATCGCACATCTTTGCGGCATAATGAAGCGCTGGGAGGAATGTCTAACCGGAAAGATAAGCAATGATTTCTAAGCCCTTTAGTTGGTCGGCGGCTTCTTTGAGAGTCCTGAATGCGGTCCAATCTGCTTTCCTTCTTCTACCCAACTCCACCTTCATGTTCTGTATGATCACTAATCGGCCAAGGTATACATACGAGGTGGTCTCTGCAATCAGAGAACCATCCAATTTGATCTGATCGCCTGCGCACTTTAGGTTCTTGATGAAATGAGCCTTCATCCTTCTAATGCGCAGCCCAATCCAATCGTTTTTCGCGCTCCTTTGAGTTCATTGAGCATCCTTTCTGCTTCAGTGGCACTCCTCGAAAAGATGACGATGTCATCCGCGAAAATAGAACTTGATAGCAATTTACCATCTATACATGTGCCCTCCTCGTCTTAATCCAGAGGAGTTTGTACATGTTATTTAGTAATAAATGTATAGTTGGCACCAACGACATTACATATAGTGTCTAATTAGCGCTATGCGTCAACGACATAGTTGGTAACCGATGTGACTTATCGGATTAAATATTTGGAAACAATTCTCAGCCCTCATTCTCACAACTCTCACGGTTTTTGAAAATAGTGCTCAAAACCACTTGTACTACCACCTAGAACTTTAACAGTTCATCAACCTACTCCTTCACATGGATCGGAAAGTTTAGTTGAGCTCAGTAAGATCGAATTAAATGGCATACTTTTGGCATAGGAAGAAACCTTACATTTTTGGTTCCAAACAAGGTGTGTCCTATGTTAGGGTGAGCACTTAATGGTTCAGTCGTCACTTCATTTGTCAGATGAGAGGATAATATTGACGCGATATTCGCTTATTCGCCAGAGTGGCCCGTCTTGAAAGGTTATGTGAAACATTTGTTTCATTGTCTTGTAACCACACCAAGTTAGCTTAGAACACATGGAGTGCTCTATCCTCACTGACGTGTTGAAATAATTCCTTATTTAACGCTATTTCCATCCTATCACGAGATAAAACTACTATAGCGTTCCCACGTAACAGCACAGACGGTAGCTAGGTCCCGTTAATCGGTTTCTCTCTGGAAAACCACTGGACGGATATAACACATTGCCTACCGTATGCATCGTCTTATCTACTAAAACATGAATGAAGAATAGGTGAAGGTTCAGTATAATCAGAGGAGTATAAGGATAAGGATGAAGCTCTCAGCATCGATCATTTCCTGAGGGTGCGCCATGCATTCGACTTCATTAAGCATCGCTGGAGGTGACTGAATGCTTATATGACCTTTACTGACTCGTGGTAACTTATCGATGTATCGAGCCAATACTGGTATCGTCCCAGACAAGTCTGGAACCAACCTGCCGACCCTGGATAGATGGAGGGTTTGGTAGGCCTTGGGCGCGGAGATCGATCCCATGTGTATTGCAGGGTGCCTCCGACCACTGCGCTATACGTGTCCTTAGGGCGGAGTATACGAATATCTATTTCTTAAACCACAACATAAACGCATAATCACTTCTAACGTACAACCAACGATGGACAATGAGCAATCGGAAAACAACACGAACTTCATAGCACTTATAGCAACTATTCCCAGAATAGTTTCTATTTCTTTCTACATATATTTGTATCTTTCTATTACTGTATGTTTCAGTATTAAGGATCATATCCACTGTTTCTCAAGTTGTCTAGTAAATGTCGTAGTACGTAAATATTTCGATCCCATCCTTAGCAACTTCGATCGCTGTAAACAGTGTTGTTATGCAAACCTATTTTTTGCAATCCGAACTCATTGTTTGTTATTACTGTGCAAAAGTCATCACGCGTACAATAACAAGAAGGGCATGAGGATGTTTGCGGTGGTTTTGAGAGGATATGGAGACGGTAGCCGACGAATGTTTTCGGTAAAGATGCTGGACTTGTGCCAAATACCGCCTTCTCCATAAGCATATAAATAGGCTCGTTAATTGTTGTCAAGGTTCGTCGACTATGCAGGTTCACCCGTGTCGGGGTTCGCCGACTCTTTAGATCTGTACCGTATTGGTCTCGTGTGTCACCAATGTAGGTTATCGCAGTTGTTAAGCCATACAGCACGTAGTCATTATTGTACATCAACTTCATTATATCATTGTGAAATGACAGTTGCGAATTGTACATTAGTTTAGCATCACCGTCACTACGTCACGCTTTCCATCAGCCCAGTGTATCCTCATTATCATCATCCTGATCCTCATCCTCTTGGTAATATTCATTGTTTATCAATTGGTCTGCGGTGTGTTGTCAGTAGCGGCGGCTATCCCCAAATGCGTTATCTGAAACGCCATCGGTGGCATGTACCATTCGTCCCACACGGTACGCCACGCGTACAAGGCCGCTAGCCGGCCAACTTATGCTGTGTATTTGTTAAGCCGCTATAGGCTTATCATTTCTCAGTCGTTATCTTTCTGGTTTATAATCTCTTAGGCAATGGTGGCACCCATCGATGCTCAAACTTGACGTTGCAGACATATCGTTATCCAAGAGCAGCCGCTTGACCGTGTTCCGCAGATGTCTCATCTCGTTCCTGGTCACTTCCACCATCGATGCTTAGGTAACTTGCTATCGTCATCGATTAATGTGCAAGTGCACCCAGCCGCTCTACATACGATTTCTAGCTTAGCCTAATGCAGCGCTCGTCTGCATCTCACTCTTCTGTTGTTCTAGCCCTCGGCATCTGGACGACTTTACGCGCCAGTACGGGCGCCATCGTTCGTATCCTCTTACTTGTCATTGTTATCAAGTTGCTGTTATCATAGTACTACTGTTGCAATAGTATTATTTACAATACTCTTATGCCTTCGTAAGCGTCGCATTAGTAGTAGCTACAGCACCTCATAGCCTTGAACTTGCCTTATTTGTCTGTCAGTAGTTCTCCGTCGATATTAGTGTTGTACTGATGTCGCATTTATGTATATAAACGGTTTAATTACCCAAGTTTGAGGTATTGTCTTGTGACAACTACGAAAAGTCCCGCGTGGCATTTTCACACGAAGTCGAGCATTCTGCTAAAAACTAGTGATTATTTGGTGCAGAGAAGTGACTCGAAGGCCTATTTTCGACTAGCAGCTGCAATAGCACTTCTATCACCGAGTCGTCGAGAGAAAGATTAGGTGCAAGTAGTCCCAGTAGATCCATTATACACCTATACAACATTAGGTGACTATATAGAGGAGGGGTCATGTACCTAAACTATGAGAAGGAGACGTAATAACTATTCAAAGTCACTGATCTCCAAGCGACTGGCGCATGTCTCAGGATCGAGCCATCAAGGCGATATGCTGCGCCCGGTGGTCCAGAGGTACAAATGTAGGACAACGCAAAAAAAATATGGGCTTTGTATCAAGTAATTTGAGATACAATATATTACGTGACAGGAGTGACAAAGGAAAATACATAACTAATACAAGACATATACATTTACATACAGGAATACTCCACGAAAAATGATCTCCGCATGACCCATTTAGAAGTCAATCTAATCAATCAATCACAATCGAAAAAGAATCAATCTAGTCGAAGTCAACCTTAAACCAAGCTGAGCAGGTATCAATAGATTACGCCCTGAAGGTATTCATGACTGAAATCCCATTCTATCTAAAACAAATACGACGTCTAAGTGTACAACAGATGACATCACCTTCTATATTTGTATATACTTACGTAGACAGTTACGTGGCCCGTCTCCACTGGTTGTGCGGACCCCAGCATAATTTTCACTTTTTCGAAGTTTTGATAAACAATAACAACTAGTTTTGATGCACAACGTAATAATTTAATAAAACAATTACTCATTTACTTGATACTTGAACGGCCCGTCATCACTAGTTGTGCGAGCTCCACCATAATCACCATTTTTTGGAGTTTTGATGGTTAAGTCGTTGTGGTTCTCTGGAATCCCGAGGGCAGACTTGCCAAAGCCTGCCTCAGGTCGTCATCACGACGGGCAGTCGCAGCCCTTGTGGATCAAAGGGAGATTTACCACCATACAACTTTGATACCAAGACGGTGGTGGGTCCTGGTATTGGTTTACTCTTAGCTAGGCTTACTGATGCAAACGCCGGACTCCTTTTCAGCTTGGGAGATCCTGCCTGGGGACGAATCCTCCGCTGTACATCGGAGCCCGACACCCGAGAACACCTCCCAGCCACGATGAGGCAGTAAACCGTCGGGAGGATATTTGCATATAATAATGGTAAAGAACAATATAAAACTTTAAACAATCTCTTGTAAAGAAATAAAACTCTAGTGCTTTCCATCCATACGCAAAAATCAAATAGATCCATCCCCATCTGTCGAAGGATCTCCTTAGGATGAACAGAACTTCCAGGCTTTTCTGTGGCCACACCTATGGGTACTAGTTGTCGAGCTTAGGAAAGCAGACGTCAATCGGGGTGTTACGTCTGCCACTTTGACACGGCGTCGCTCCACTGTGTCCTCCAAGCCAGGGACCAACTCCACCTCCCGTGGTAGGTACTGCATTATTCTTTCATTGATAGGCGTACAAGAGGTTGATAAGCAGCCTTTATTTGGCTAACGTCTCACGTCGTCTTGCTCAAAGCCGATAGTCCGAGTCAATGTTCCATAGCTGTTCGTCTTCTTGATGTGACGTCTTCGTCATCGTGTCGGGTAGCATCTTTTTCAGTGGGCCGTCGACTCGGACCACTGGCTCTGATGAAGACGAAACGTCAACGGAATAATGCTGTTTATAAGTCTCGTGTAAATTTCTCAGTGGAAGAATACATGATGATTAGTCACGTTGAGGTTAAAGAAAAGTCAGTTTTGAAACTGCATTCATTATCTGCAGAATGTCGCTGACGAGTTACTAGGTAATCTCAGAACAAGTCCATAATTTAGACTTTAACCAAGTTTATCTTCATACTGTTAGAAAGTACTTCTCAAGTACTGTGTCGACACTGTCCTGGATAGCACTGGTCTTTTTCTAGTTCTGTGCTATCCAGAGTAGTTAATCGTTTGGTCCACGTGGCTGCACGTCCTTGTTGTCCATTCATGACGTTTATTTTATAAAAATTATACTTTTTAGGTACTTTTCTGAGCACATCGACAACGAGACCATGCTGTCTAACGATCGAAGCAATGAGAACGTCGTAGTGTAAGTCAGTTCTCGTTTGTCGTTTCTTTTATTTTTTCTTTCTTCGTCGTGTTTCTTTCTTTTTTTTCATCAATCAAGGTCCATTGTAGAAAGTTCTCGCGAGATGAAGTAATGCGCGAATTCTTTGCTCCACTTGAGCAGCTGAAGCGCCAACAAGAAGAATCCACAGCGCCATGGTGTGATCTGTCCGAAGCTCGTCTCTTTCAGTTACTAACGTTCTTCAAGCCAGCAGGTTATTTCATTTATCTTTGTGTTTCATTTGCAGTGTAACTAGTTTAAAGACTTATGTCTTCTCTCCCTTCAAAATGTCCATAACTGTTAATAACTTCTCCCAGTTCAGGGTATTGAAGCTGTCAACGGCTGTGCAGAAATAGGCACTTGAAAACTATAACAGTGCAGTTTTAACCTATTATTTACTGCTTACTCTTTTTAATGGCAGAGTATATTGCGAAATATAACTTCAATGATGCTGATATATTTGCAAAACTCCAGACCGCAGGTGTCTGCGGTGCAGAACGAACGCGCTATTGTCTTTTCCGGGGAGTAGCGCACTTCACCACCACACCATCCGGGTGCTTCGTTTTACCTGTCTCTCAGCTATCCACTCTGCCATCAGCAATCACCCGTCAGCAGGATGAGGACAATCGCGCGTTTGTTCCACACCGCAAACACTTGCGTTCCGGAGTTTTGCAAGTACCTCAGCGTCATTGAAGTTATAACAGTGCACTCGATATTTCTAAGGTTAAAAAATTAGGAGATCCATCAAGCGTCACCTTTTATTTGATATGTTCGCGCTAATATTCATTGGTTTTAATCGTACACTTACCGGAAATTAATTTGTTGCTTTAAGTGTAGCGTAATGGTCGGAGACGCCCTGCACTAAACGTAGGATGGATCCACGCACCCCAGGCCCATCAGGCTCTCCACTGCTCCGAGATCGGCGAATTGGTACCAGGGTTGCCTGGTAGGATGACAGCACTGGCTCGATACATCGGTGGGCCACTGCGAGTCATTGTGAAGACCAGATATGCATTCAAGAACCTCCAACGATGCTCAGCGAAGTTGAATGCATGTCGCATCCCTCAGGGATAGATCAACGCCGTTTTTTTAATCATTTTTTTATACTATTCAAGTGTCCTCCATCTCGGGCAGCGGATTTGCCGCCTCCGGAAAGGTGAAGGGCCTGATGGGCCTGGGGTGCGTGGATCGACCCCATGTATATTGCAGGGCGCCTCCGACCACTTCGCTACACGCGCCCCATGTATGTATGTGTATGTATATGTATGTATACAGGTGTATCTAATGTTTGTTCAGGAGTGAATAGATTCTTCAATTTGCATGCTATTTACATATACATGAATCATATCTACGAGAAAGAAGACGGGTGCGAGATATTTCTGAACGATAACGATTTTGAGACTGTGCGAAAGAGGAAGAATTTGCCCAAATCTGAAAAAACTTTACGATTTCGACCACGCTACCGCATTAGGCCATCTATTGATCAGGTAATAATTACGTGTACAACTTAAAGCTATTCGAATGGTTCATCGGGTATAATCTGTATTTTGTGGTTTTCCCTCCAGTTTTTCGTCCGCGCTATTCCGGAAAATATTTCGCGCTTTTAGCATCAAGATATGACCTGGATGAAACTTTACAGATCATCGCAAGGCTAGAATTGTACTGGGATATGAAACTTGTGGAATATAACGAGAGTGTGCCAGATGGATTTGAAGTACACAGTGAATTCTTTTTACCCGACGGGCAGTTCAGCGAGCTCATGAAGGAAAAGGTCACTTTGCTATACTTATTTATTTGTTTAGATGTCCTGGCTATAGGTGTTGTGCTGTCGCCTGCACTGTGTCCATTCGTCGAGTTGTCTTACAACATTGTTTTAACTTTTATTTACTGCCTATCTTTGTTTTTTTCATGGCAGGGTATGATGTAGAATACAACCACAAAGGTACTGAGGTATGAGCCAAATTTGGTGCCTTAGGTTAGTTTCGAATCCGCGATTACCCTTTACGCGAGCGCTTGTGCTATCCACTGCGTCACTCAGGCTCCTGATTTGTCTTTCTCTCATGCAGGGCAATTTTTCATCCTAACGGTGCTATCAACAATAACCCTTTAACGGGAGTGATTTGGTGAGCATTAATTCGCATTTAACCCAGTTAGACTGAAACTGCAGTCGAAATCAAAAAATCGCAGGGTCGAAGCCCAACTGGGGTTCCGAGTTTTGCTTATATCTCATCATGGTTATGGTTGGATCTTACAACAGTTGTTCATTGGAGTTGTCAGGTTTTGGCATAGGGTAAAAACGGATTAGGGATCTATTGTGTTTCTTTCCGATTGATGTTTTGGATGCTCTCTGAACGTGGTGCTTCCGAAAATTCTTAGATGGCCTAATCAAGACTACCTTTACCACAGGCAGGCATCGGCCAGATTAGGTTTGAGGGGAGTTTGGTTTCTTTTAACTAGAACTCTTTGTGGACAGCAGCAGTTCTTGTAATTAATTATTCGACCGTTTGATCGATGACAACGTAAGATGCAGAATCTTTTTTGATAGGTGGTTCTAGAGAATGCTAAAATGGAAACTAGTGTGTTTGCGTAGCACAGCAAATTGCATATATCCTAGTAGAGTCGTGGAAAATTGGTTTATTGCTGGATCTTCTGTCTGCTACTGGTGGTATTGGCTTGCTATTACCACCTTTTATAGTGTTATAGTGTTATTGGAGTGGTGATTATATCGAATGGTCTTCACCTTATGAAATCTGTTCAGGCATTCGGGGCTTGAAATGGCATTTTATTTTTCTTTACTCTTAAAGTGTCATATGTGCAAAGTATAATGTTTTATTAACTAGGTAATGGAATATTTACGAAAAACTAGTGTGGGAGAATTGTATAGGATTGCAAAAACCAGAAGATGGTAAAAGTTTTCATTTTGTAAGTTCTGTACAAGCAGAAGTTAAAATGATAGAAAGTAGCTAGCATTTTTAATGTTATGACTAGAAAGGTGAAAGGAATCGTTTCAAGCCATCGGAAATGGGCATCGAAGCTGACTTGGACTAAAATTCAAAGGGAAAGCGCTTGTCATTGATATAATCCTAATTCCTTTTGTTCTTGTGGAAAGGTGAAAAAGCTCTCGATTACTTCACTTGCGAAACTTCCTTTTTCAGGAGGAGGAGAATGCTGCATTGGCAGCAGCGACGTTATCAACACCAACGCAAGCGATGACCACAGTTACCGGTATTGGAAAGCGTCGTTCGCGTCGTGGTGGATCGCATGATTCTTCAGACACTATTCATCAATAATAGCTAGCTGCATGATCTTTTAAATACAAAGGTTTTTCTTATGTTTTTTTTTATGTTTTTGTTCACCCTGTATTTTGTTTTTACGCTGAATTTTTCCACCCCGCTTCTAGTAAATACCGACCTACTGTTTACTAATTTTTGTTCGTGTTCTTAGATATAGTTTTAATTACCTACTTACTGGATACTTGAATTGGCCGTCTTCACTGGTTCTGTGGACTCCAGCATGTCTTCCGTTCGTTTCTGTCTTGCGTAGTCGTCCACAGTGGCGGTCTGCTTCGAATATGGTAGCGTCCGCGATACCCATTCCGTATTCCTGACATCGTTGCCATTTGCGAGTACAAGATAGTTGACGTTAGGCACGAACACGTCCACCCGCTGTTTGGAAAGGCTTCTAAGAAGACGTGTGTATTCTCTTGGAATCCATTCTACTGTTTTTCTCGTTCATCTGTATTTTATCCATATTATGTGACCCGCGTGCCAATGTTTCACCATTTATGTATGTTCTGTTTGATACCGAAGATAAGTTAGGTTTCCGAGATCTGAGCTGGGCGTGCTGCCTATATGTTTTTTGCCGGCTAAATTTCAGAAGATATCGTTCAAACGCTCAGTGGCTGGTGCGCAATTTTCTTGACGTGGTTGAATTATCAGCCCAAGTTTCTGCTGCATAACAGAACACTGGTAAGACTATCGAATCGAGGTGATCAGCGCGGATTTTCTCGTCCTTTAGTTGGTCGATGGACGCGTGCGGTGCAGTGGTCGGAGGCGCCCTGCAATACACATGGGATCGTTCCTGGCGCCCTATGCTCATCACGCTCCCATCCCTCCGGTGTCGGAAAATTGGTACCAGACTTGTCTAGGAGGATAGCAGTACTGGTTCAGCACATCGGTAGGTCACTGTGATTATTATGTAAGACAAACACGCATTCATTCTCCTCTAACGATGTGTAATGAAGTCTACTCCATGACGCATCGCTCAAGGATTGATCAATTGCGAGAGCTTTTATATTTTTTAATTAGTCGGTGTTTGTTTGTTTGACTTGTGACTTGTTTGTCCGAATGCGGTTCGAGCTACTTTCTGTCAATTTTCTCCTTAACGTTGTTCTCTATGTGAATTGAACGCCCAGTATTCACGTACGAGGTGGTCTCTGTAATCAGAGAACCATCAAGTTCCATCTGTTCGCCTTCGCACATTGGGTTTTTCTTGAACTATTTCTTCCGAATCGTCTGTGCTTCGCTCGCTATGTCGAACCCATTTTCGTACGAGTATGGTGGAACCTCGTTGATAAAGTTGTATTTTCGTAGTGTATGTATAGAATTCTATTCATTTCGACACTGCCAAACTTCTTATAGTTGACAAAAATTAGAACTAGAAGCAGCTGGTGTACCAGACAAACTTCAATGACTCTAGACACGGTTTGGATTTGGTCCATGCAGCAAAATCCTTTAGATATCCTGCTTGCTCAAGTAGTTGCACCTCATCTAGTGTTCTTGATTTGCGCGGCAGGATAATCTTTGCGAAGGGCTTGTAGAGCATATTCAACAAGTACATTGGGCGATAGTTACAAGGATCCATTCGGTCACCTTTCTTGGGTGGGATGACTGTGTGCAACGTCCTCCACTGGTCTGAGATTTTTTATCTTTCAAAGTTAAATACCATATGGTTTGTGAGAACTACCTTCAAATTGTGGCCTTCCAGCTCTAAGGAAGTAGGCGCTATTGTTGGGTCCTGGAGGTCTGCCTTTCCTCATACTTATCGCAACTCGAACCACAAGGGGAAGATTTCCAGGTGGTTTTTTTTAGCGTGGATTTTAGAATCTGGGACAGGGATTGTGGAACGGGAAATTTTGATGTGAAACTTTCCGTTATTAATTCCGTATCATGGCGGGAAGTTTTAGTGATCCCATCTTCGTTCATTATGGCTCATAGCGGAACGTTATACACAAGTCCCTACGACATTTTTCCAGATTCGTTCTTTCCTTTGCTATTTCTTCCTCTTGTACTAATGTACATCTTCTCGTAAAGCTCTTCTGCAACTGAAATTTGTTACTAGCCGTTAAGTGTATTGTAATAGGGTCAACCTTCAATTTCCTTCTCTTCTTGAGCAACTCTTTAGTGCTATTGGAAATGTTCGTGTACATCGGTCTCCTTGCTTTTCGTTTCTTTTTAAGGCTGTCACGTGTAATTTTATGTGATATGCAACTTCAAGAACAGAGTGAAGTATGGCATCTAAGAAGGGCGCTCTGGTACTATACATGCAGAGTAGGGAATTCTCTCCATAGCATGTCGTATGTGTGTTTCTTAGATCCCGAGCCAGTGACGTACAGTATGACCCGAGATTTTGTGCCCACAGCGCCTGACGTAGTAGATGGGAGCACCCAGCGTGTGTGGTACTGAGGCCTACCTGCTGCTGGTTGAGCAATTTGGTCTCCCTGGAATCCTAACTTAGGCTTGCTTGGGCGTTTTCAGGTCTTCAAACGATTCGCTTGTTCGGTTTTACCACTGTTCGATTCAGACATGGTATTAAAACCGAGATCAAAATTAAAAGTAGAAGTGAAACAAATACCGACCGTTCAAGGACATGTAGAAGGAGAGCTAAGGAAAACTAAATTTGGTAATGCTATATTGAAATGATGCTGCAGAAATGGGAGAAATCAAACCAGCTACTATGGAGGTTCCACGGCTCCTGCCACCAAAAGAAAAATCGTGGAGGGGACGATTGTTATCCCGTTTTTTGAAATTTTAAGAACCATAATTGATGTTAATAGTGTACTTATGTGAGGAAACGAAACCACTTCAATTTGTTCTTGCAGTCTTAATCTGATCTGGAACAAACCAAGAGTTCTATTGAGGGCTGTACCTACACCCATGAAAAGAATGTACACATCTAAGGATCTATTCTCCAAGTAGCCTAAAATGTATTTAAGTGTAATTTATTTTATATATTTAGATGTAGTTCGAAGATTAAATAGGATAGAGAGGGGCGTTGAGAAAGTTACAAAGAGTATGGGAGTGTTTTTCTAAAGAGGAGGATGTCATGAGGAAGTAATTCACTAATTTTGATGTAAATTTGGAAAGAATAAATGGGACGCATAGGATGGTTAAGTGGATCTGTAACTAAGGGGTGAATGACTAGGAAGCCAAAAGCGTTATGACAATAGGCGTGTCTTCACTTTGCATCGCCTTGCTGACGATTTCTGGTTGTTTATAACGAGAAGTGAAGATGTATAAGTAATGAAAGAAGTAAAAATTCCTAGGTAATGATTCAGTACAGGTGACAACCATTCCACTAACGTTAATGTTTGTGGATAGATAGGTTGCCGACAGCAATAGGATACCTACTGCGTAAGATCAACTTCGATACTTCTATTTAGTTCAATCGGGTCCTTGCCCTCGAATCTCACAAGTTTTTCGTTTCTATATCCACGCTCAGATATTTGATTAAGCACTTAGATCGTACGCCCTTTCACGATGTACGAAAAGCGTCAGTATTTTCTCCGATCATTTTCTTACCTTGCAACCATCGCTCAAAGAGATAACAAAGTTTCGATGAAAGTTCTACTACAGCTTGAGAATCTACTCTTCTCCTTTGGCAGTTCATTGACATTTTGCATCCTAGTGCAATATTGCAATCAGTAATTGGTAGATTTTCATGTTCAAGCTTATTCTAAGGGGAACAGCTTGTGCAAAGACATGAATGAGAGTGGGCTATCGCTTTAAAGTCAATGTCTTTTGTGATTATACTGTTGGGCATTGCGCAATACAACAAAGCGGTCAGCGCCGCTGTTGTCAAATCCGTGATCGCTGGTTCAATCCCACTCGGGCTCAACTAAAGCTTCACTCTTATGCTGCAAGATTGAGATCAGAATTCCACAGAAAAACCACATCCCATCTACACAAACCGATGGCTGACTTTGGTGATGATTTGGACATGCTCTTACAAGACCATCCCAAGATTTTTGAATACCCTTTTTGGTTTAGCCTCTAAATGTTGTAAGAAATAACAACTATGGACATTCGAATTGTATGATTGTGTCTTTAATGAAGGCGATAGTGTCAGCAAATTCACCCATTTACTTTGATACCTAAACAGACCGTTTTCACGAGTTGTGCGAACTCCAGGACATTTTCCACTTGTGTCTTTGTCTTGTAATTGTCGTCCATGGTTGTACTCGGATTCCAGCATGTGCGGACACGGGGACACATAAGGTAGATCCCAGCGCCTCAGACCCACCAAACCTTCCATCTCTCCGGCGTCGGCGGATTGGTACCAGGCCTGTCTAGAAGGATAGCAGTACTGGCTCGACACATCGATGGGTCAGCGTGATTCATTGCAAAGGCCAGATATTCATTCAGTGACTTCCAATGATGCTTAATGAAGTCGAATGCATGGCGCATCCCTCAGGTATTGATCAACGCCAAGAGCTTTATCCTTTTTCAACCTGCAGTGAAACCAATAATGGGTTGTACATAAAATTTTAAGCATTGTGGTTCCGACGGCAGCCTCAGCTTAAATGGATCCAACGCCGACTTGTGTTAATCAGATCATTCTCGTTGACGGGTGATTCCTGATGGCACCGTTAGAGTAGAAAACTGGGTTAGAATGAAGGTAAAGCAAGGTTCTCTGTGGTGAAGTGGGTAACACATGACCCGCGGGAAGGGGTAATCGTCAGGTCAAATCAGACCTGGGGTCCGAGTTTTGCAAATATTTCATCATCATTGTGGTTGTATTTCACTTACTACCCTTCCTTGAAATGAATAATAGGCAATAAGTGTGAAAGTTAAACACTGTGGTAGCATGCCAGATTACTCTTGGAACATCCGTGTTCGACAAGCTACCGCTTTCATAAAATATGGCAGTAAAAAAAGCCTTCGCATGAAAATAAACCACCGGAAAGAAATTGAGTGGAAACTAGCCCAAGTGAGGGACAATGCCAAGCAAACTGTCAGTATATATCAACTAGCGTCATTGTGTATCTTTTAAATACTTGGATGGCCCGTCCTGAGTGATTGTGCTGGCCCCAGCACAACTCCATTTTTTCGGAGATTTGTTGTTTTAGTGGTTCGCTGGAATCCCAAGGTCAGCCTGGCCAAAATCTGCCTCAGGTCGCCATTACCACAGACAATCGCCACAATTATGAATCAGAGGGAAATTTCCCACCATGCGACTAGTTTGATACCAGGACTGTGGTGGATCCCGGTATTGGTTTATTATAAACTGGGTTTCCTGATGGAAGTGCTGGACTCCTTCTCAACTTAGGAGGTCTTGCCGGGAGACGAATCCACCGCTGTACATCGGAGCCCGACACCCGAGAACACCTCCCAGCCACGATGAGGCAATAAACCGTCGGGAGGATATTTGCATATAATAATGGTAAAGAACAATATAAAACTTTAAACAGTCTCTTGTAAAGTAAAACGCTAGTGCTTTCCATCCATACGCAAAAATCAAATAGATCCATCTCCATCTGTCGAAGGATCCCTTTAGGATGAACAGAACTTCCAGGCTTTTCTGTGGCCACACCTATGGGTACTAGCTGTCGAGCTTAGGAAAGCAGACGTCAATCGGGGTGTTACGTCTGCCACTTTGACACGGCGTCGCTCCACTGTGTCCTCCAAGCCAGGGACCAACTCCACTTCCCGTGGTAGGTACTGCATTATTCTTTCATTGATAGACGTACAAGAGGTTGATAAACAGCCTTTATTCAGCTAACGTCTCACGTCGTCTCGCTCAAAGCCGATAGTCCGAGTCGATGATCCGTAGCTGTTCGTCCGGTATTAGTTTATTCTAAGCTGGGTTTCCTGATGGAAGTGCTGGACTCCTTCTCAACTTAGGAGGTCCTGCCGGGGGACGAATCCCCTCGCTGTACATTGCAGCCCGACAACCAGTAACACCTCCCAGCCACGAAAATGTGGTAATATTTGGTAGGAGCTTATGCTTACTAATATAAAGCACTGCTGACATTTCTACCCAACTTTGTCACATAAGAGTTCCTTGTTAATAGAAAAAAAAACGAAAAACAAATCCGACGAATCATGTCTATGATATGAATCAGAACTCATATGTATTCAAAAGCAAAGTGAATAAAGTATTATAGAACACCATAATAATGAGACAGATGTGAGATGGAAGTAATGAACTGGAAGTGAAGTAGTTCTATCTACAAGAAAGGCACGTCTTCATATAAAATCAGACGGGTGTACGAAAGATCACAACTTGAGGACGACAACACTCTCAACAATCCGTTTCATAACTTCAATCGATCGCATACTTTTAGAACAACCAACTAGTACGAGTTTATGTTTAGCACGTGTTAAAGCAACATTGACTCTTCTTTGGTCCTTTAGTAGTTCGCATCGCTAAAAGTTCCATTGATAGAAGGACGATTCCGTTAATATGAACAAATTTTCAAAAAGTGTAATGATTACTTTTCCACATGAAGATGTCCACACAAGCGACCAAATTATTACACTCTTATCACGACCTTGAAACTGATCAACCGAATTGATCTAAATAACGAATCTTATAGTGGGTAAAAGGATACAAGGATAAAAGGATATAGCATTCGAAGCCGATGTGCCTTTATAAATGAGCCATCGATTGGACTCCGTTAAACGCCGTAGAAGTGATTGAGTGCATATTTAACCTATACAATGACTACAGAAGACTCACTGGTGTCGAATGTCAGTGTCAAGTGTCGAATATTATATAAGAGATAGAAGGAACAAGAACGAACCTCGACATCTTTCTCTGAGCTCAAAAGTGACTTCATCAGGTCTACTTGCTTACGATAAACGCACATTACACCGATTTCCGTGGGATGGATTCCATTCTTAACAAAACATGTTACATATAAAGCACTTTATAAAGAACTCCGGACCGCAGATGGTTGCGGTGGGGATCGAACAGGCATTACCCTCTTCGGGGTTAACGCATTCACCACCACACCGTGCGGGTCAATCGGTTCGCCTTTCTCTCAGCTAGTTCTATCGATCTTTTGCCATCAGCAATCACCCGTAAACCGGCTTGATCTAGGGAGCATAAATCTTTAAAAATCAACTGAGGGATCTTTTAAATCATCCCACATCTCTATCACAATCTCCAGCTGCAACCTAAAGATTTCTGCCAAAAGGATATAAGTTCTCGCATTATAAAATAAAAACTAGATTTCGGTCTTCTTGACCCGACAACACAGCTTTTCCCCTTTCCCTAAAGGCATCAAAAACAGCAGAGCAACCGAAAAAATGGATTTGCTAACACGAGATTTGTTCAAAGTCCCTAGAGCGAGTAGAACTCACTGGGTTACTCTTGCACGCGACAGGAAAAAATAGAAGTGTTAGTGGCGTCCGCTTGAGTTATTCGACGATCAACAGGATACAGGTGACAGGCGGTACTTTCATTTTTAGAAATATCTAGTAGTAAATTACGACGTCGACAAAGACTTGAATTACCTAGGATTAGTAATATTACCGAATCGAAAGGGAAGTATTACCGCAATAAATCTCGACACAACTTCGCAAGCTAGACGAGCTTCGCCAAAGTTTTGAAGTGAACCCGGACCATTATTTGTTGCAGAGAATGTCGGCTCAGTTGGTGCGCAGGTATCGATGAATACCACAGAATCTTCTAGATGTCCGCTTTCTATTAGTTTCCATGCACCTAAGAACATGCGTATTTCATGTCTTACAGCAGTAAATCCAAAAAGCGGAACGCAAGTTATTCAACAGGATTTGGAGATTTGGATCCTCAAATCACGAACCTTCCGAGGTTGACACTCTGAAGCCCTCTAAAGCCATCAGGCACGCCTTAGCTACTTCTTCGCTGCCACAAACCAAACGATCTTGGTAAAAGATATGACTGCTCAACTTAACGATAGTGCTGGAATAAAAAACAACGAACTCATTGCTTAACTCTTAGTTCCCACATCTAAAAAAGAATGTATCGTGAAATACATTTATTGGACACACCTATTCATTCTGTACTGTGAGGTAAGAGAATGTAAAACATTCTTTTGTACCTGAAGACGTTCAAATAGCGACACTGACATCCCTTCTTCACTAGAAAAAAAGCTATAGCTTGCATCAGAGATTAACACCTATATGAAAACACAGAAAGAAAGCACTTACGCGCACTTTTTGTTCTGGACGAGAGGAGCAAGCTGATTAGCATCACCAACAAGCACGAAATGCCTGCATGTATACAATGCCGCGAGGGCCACCGGCTCAAGCACCTCAAAATGGATTTCATGGGGAAAGAGTGAGTAATAAACTGCTAAATAATACCACAAAACATAATAGTACTACAACCGAGGGCGTCTGTGGCGCAGCGCTCGGAGACACCTGCAACACACACGGAATCAATCTCTGCGCCCTTGGCCCACCAAGCCTTTCATCCCTTCGGGGACAGCAAATTGGTACCAGATTTGTCTAGGAGGATAGCAGTATTGGTTCGATACACCAGTAGGCCACCGCAAACCGAGAGCTTTACCCTTTATTCTTTTACATAACATAATTTCTTGTGTCGAATGGCGCGTGCGGGATTTATGACCATGACAGCATTTTCAAAGATGCTCCCGCCGTGAATTTTCGCCGTTAGCATGCATAGTGGTGTTTTATGTTCACTGCTTATAAAGTCTCTACTGGATTCGTCATCACATTATGCTGACAAGTAGCGTTTCCTTGAGGGTTATTGCGAGTAGGGAGATACCAACGATTCAAAGACCAACAGAGCCACTCAAGGTGAACAATCTCATATTTCAACCCAGAAACTCAGCTATAAAGGAGCACTACAACATGGTGGCGTACCCACGTCTCCTTTCACGCAAAAATAAGTGGAAATAAGTGCTCTCGTAATAGAAGTGTGAAGCCCTGTCATTAGACTGATTCAAGCTCATTAGGCAGGTCTAGAGCTCGATAACGATGAATTTACTGTACATCGCTTGCATCACTCTGTGATTAACAGAACCACAGGTGATAGCAGCGACCTTTGCATCGTTAGAGTAAAGACGAAAAAGGTGCACAATTCCTCACCATTGAGGCTTCGTCAATAACACAATAGTCGAATTTCCTCCACGAAAATAGCAATTCTCTAGGCAAATAATGACAAGTGCTTCCAACAATCGGCTGAAGAAAAAAAAACATTTTAGAGCGAATGGAATGACCCGGTTTTTCTATAAAAAGACAAAGGAACTCATGCGAAAAAATTTCAAATACTACCGTGTTTATTAAAGTCCTCTTCGTAGCTTCGTATCTGTCCCCCTCCACACTTATTAACTTGGAGTCTAGGGTTAATCCGGCGACCGATTCACGAGCGGAAGATGATTTTCCAAGCCGTAACATGTTAGAATCGTCGGTATACTGAAATCGAGTCGTAAGGTGAAGGAATTTTGACAGAACTCACAAAACCTCACCTTTCTCAATTTAGCAAGCACATTATCCAAGGCTGAATGGGTGTTCGCAGTCAGTAAAACTGAACACTTCATTTCAAGAAGACAGCGTAGTAGTAATACAATCGTGGTCGTTTTTCCTGACAAAGACGCTTCTTAGATTTCATGAAAGTTTTCCTCCAAAACAGAAGTATAAATGCTAAAGGAGGGTGGAAAAAGCACACTGATGTCTATCGCAAACAATTGAAGACCGAAAATAAACATTAATTCGAACCTGAGCCAGGAAAACCTTCTACGAGCGTATAATCATCGGACAATAGAGCAGATTGTACGGCCTTCTTCTGCTCCTCATTGATCTCATTAGATGCTTCACTGCTTGACAAGATTTTGTGGACTGAGTGGGGAAGACTAGACACAGCAGATGAAACCGTTGGTGGCTCAAGATCAATTATCAGTTTACGTAAACGTTCGCTGAAATTATCAAGTACAGTCTCTTGGAGAACTTTACTTTCATCACTGGAAAACTAGTCCACAATTCTACAGAGGATCCATCCACTATAACGAAACACCTATTACAACACTTTCCGGCAGAGATTTAACCTCTCTTATAAAATCAACTTTTAAAATGTTTCTTTCTACTTTTCGACAAAAATAATGGTAAGTGGGAGTTTTTAAATTCCTCGTTGGTTTAAAAATGCCGCTAGGGGGTATTCAAATAATAAAGCTAAGAACTCGCGGCGATGATCAATCCCAAAGGGATGCGCCATGCATTCTACTCCATTAAGCATCGTTTGGAGGTGATCGAATGCATATCTGGCCGTTAGAATGACTCGCCATGGCCTATCGATATATCGAGCCGGTGCCGATATCCTCCCAGACAAATCTGGCACCAATTTGCCGTACTCGGATGGATGGAAGGTTTAGTGGGTCAGGGAAAGGACCAGGGATCGACCCCATGTGTGTGCAGGGTGCCTCCGACCACAACGCCACACCGTCCGTATTCTAATAATACTCTATACATAATCACACCTCGCTTCATCATTTCCCATAAGAAGAACGAGATTTCCAAGTGTTGTTGGGTAAGTAGCGATGCCATTGTAGAGGTCGAGATGGTAAACTTCGTTAGCGTCGAGGAGTCGATCACTACGAACCGTTACAGCATTAGCTAGAAAAGATACATGCCTTCTTCGTCACATCAGCCAGACAAAAACTAACACTTTAAAATATATAAAAAAGAGATAACCTACACGAAGACTCAATTATGGGAGCCAGGAGAAATCCAGGTTTTGTCGAAGTGGAAATTAAACACATATTTCCAGGGGCAAACACTGTTTCAGAAATTTCGGATGCGCTAGAACCATCACATAAACGTTGAGAAAAACATTGGATAATACTTAATAAAACACTTCACAGTCACCTGTGAAATGTCAACAGAGTACTGGAGTTGTCGGGTGAAGTGCTAATCTGCGAGACCAAAACCAGATGTGGAGCGCAAAAACCCTCCGACTCCCTGAAAAAAACAAATGGCATGAACGCAAAACTAAATGTGAAGCTCTATAAGGAATTTTGTCCGAAAATCACAAGGCACCCAGCAAAGACCGTCCTCAGATTAAGAATTCTTGGATAGCACCAACTAACTGCATAGAAATATGTGTAATATGATACGTGGAAAGCGCAATGGCTAATCACGCAGTAGTACATGCATGGACACTGGTTCGACCGGACCAAGGCTAATCATGCTTCAGATCTTCCCAACGCCGGCAAACTGTTGCCAAATTTATCTGCGAAAAATTTCCTCCGATCTACAAAACCTAGCAACTACCTTTAATGAAGACAGTGCTGCAAAGCTATCAAAGAATTTTTGAAAGAATCAGCACGAGCAGCACTTAACGCTATCTGGTGGCAAGATAAAGCTCTGTAGCCGTAGTCGAACACACGAACTTCATGAGTGATAGTTGAACGACAAACAACCGATTAAAGAAATAAAGAAAGTATAAGAAATCGCAAAATAACTAAATTCGGGCAGTATAAACGAATAGAAGAACAAAATAATAAACAATTCACTCTTTCTGAATTTCTATAATACTGAGATATTTGCAAAACTTCGGATCGCAGGTATCTGCGGTGGGGAACGAACGCACTATCGTCCTTTCCGGAGAGTAGAGCGTTCACCACCACACCATGCGAGTCCTTCGTTTCACCTGTCTCTCAGCTAGTTCTATCGATCTTTTGCCATCAACAGTCACCCGTTAACGGGATTAATCTGGAGAGCCCAAATCGGCATTGAACCCAGTTAAGCTGAGGCTATAGTTATAATCACAATCTTAACCTTATTTATTTACTGCCTATTCTTTTTAATGAATTTTCTTTCTGAATTGCCGAATATCCTCATACATGTTCGATGATCGAAAAGCATTTTCACACTTTGCATTTACGTAGTACTTTAGTATAATTTATAACGGTGTACAATGACTGACGGTGTTTAATCCTTCAAAATCAGTTTCTCCAACCGATTTGGTCTTCGTCGCCGCCTCGCTTACACAGTTTCATCTGGAAATTGTTGGTTTCGCGTGGAAGTCGTCGGTTTGGCTCGTCGTTTCGTCGTTGTTGCCTCCTCACCTACACCCATGTGGAAATCGTTGGCTTGGCTCGTCGTTGCCGCCTCACCTACACAGTCTCATGTGGAAATCGTTGGTTTACTGGTCACTGTCGCATCAACGAGCGGTTTCGTATGGAAATCAAATGTGATGCCAAATCAGTAAACGATAACTCAAATAAACAAGTTATGGAATAGCAAACGTTTATGGAGAGAGTACACAATGTTGTGTATGTCTCATGCAAAGAACAGGATTAGTTTCTCTACTGTAGACTGGGTGTGGAACCTAAGTTCTGACAAATAAAGTGTCATGACACAGTCACTATATAGTGAATGGACAATACGTGGAGTTCCTTCAGACATTTAGCTTTGATGCTCTTACTTATTCACCACCTTATGGGATACAGTGCGAAATAATCGCTGCTTCCAACTTTAAATCAACATGTTACCGTCCAATTATTTATTTTTATGGTCCCTCTTCAAATACTGCGCGGTTCCAGCACTTCACTAATTTGGTTCGTTGTCAGTGTTCAGCCGCGAATGGTCTTCGGGTGAAGCACACGTGCAGGATTAGCTACTACTTGAACACTTTGTCTTTCTAAATTTTGCTGAATTCTGGTTTAATTGGTTCGATTCTGATTCTTCATTGGGCTGCACAGTATTCCCAGGTCCTCGCACGAAACTTTTCACACATGTTACCAATTTGCTCACTCTGGATGGATGAGGTATTTGTTTTTTCTATTTAACTAGGACGAATACATGACTTTCTAGAGTCTTCAAAACATATTTCTTCAGTGAGGCTTGTATTTCAAAACTCAAAGCGATTGAATAAAGGGGGTTTTGTCTAGCACTAAATGAAACTGTTCTCCAGTGTCGTCTTAATCTGCTGGTTCCGAAAATTTTAAAAACTTAGATCTTGCCTCCAACTCCTTCGAAGGTTTCAACTTTGAAATTGGAGAAATACCTCACAGAAATACATACAACCTTAAGATGAGAGATTAAAACCTTTCATATTTTATAAAGCTCTCAACAATGAAATTGTCCGCTGGCTTCAGAAAGCAGCCAGTACATCATTCCATAAACGAACGACTGACATCCTGGTCTTTATGCAAATTCCGTAAAAACTGTTACAAGACCTTTATACCTTAATCGCATAGTTGGTTGGCTTATAAAACATTGACTAACTGTTGTCATCTCCTTGATATCACCATCTGTTGATTTGTGAACAACAAGAAGTATGTTGAACCCACGTATCACACTAGTGGAAAGAGTTATTGCCGAATTCTGTATATATTACGATGTAATGAAATTCTAGAAACTTTCCGGTCTAACGTGGGCCCCACTAGAACTAGCCAATTACTAAAAATCACCGTGATTCTAAAATAAATGTTGAATAAAAGTTCTGAAAAAAATGTTCCAAATTCAAAAAAGGCCAACACAACTAATCCTATTGGGTACATTACTGCGCTTAGTCGGAATGGGTGTATAGTAAAACACCTAACTACTTAATAACTTTTGACCTCAAGTTGGATCCACCCACCGTATTTCCACAGGCTTTCGCCAGAGGTCACTTATGCATCTGGCTTTTCTCACTTGATCTTCGGACCATTCCAAATATATCCACTTAATCCACTTTTTGAAGTACTCTAAAAAAAAACGTAGCCAAAGACTTGTAAATGATGTTTAAACAACAGACTTCACAGCTTAGGCAACGTAACCGCACTTATGGCAGGAAATTTACGTTTAAAAAAAGTTGTACCTAAATGAGTCTTCGAAAGATGTTTCATGTTGGACTGGGCGAAATCATACATTTCACGTGACGACTTTCCAAAAGGTTCGATTCCAACCTAGACAGGTCTTTGACTTCAACTTACAATCCCATTGATTTTAAATAACGTAAAAAAAATTGCACACAAACATATAAACATACATGTATATATGTATATGCAAATATACATATATACATGTATGTGTATATACACACACTTATATACAATGTATGTACATCAGAGGTACGAATGGAAATTTTTATAACATACTTGGTACAATGAACAAATAAGATTGTGATCGCACTTATCACAAGACCTTGGATCAGTCCTAGGTGCTGAAAAAACAGTAGTAAGAGGTCTATAAAAGTCAACCTATTTGAAGTAGAAGAAAAACATCTTAGATGACGTTTATGACCCAAATTCTGTACGTCAAGAGTAGAAACTATCACCTGGTAGTAAATCAGCATTCAAACTCGAAAAGTAGTTAGCAAGATTGTTTCTCTGATTGATGATAGCCTTCATCTCCAAAGCACGAGGTTGGACATTACGACTGATTCCATCTTTTAAATACAGCAGCGAACCATCTACGATTGGTTGTTTGTAATGTGATGACAACATCAGCGAATACAACATTACCTGGACATTAAGATTAAACTGTAGGGAAAAGTCAGGATGCATCCTAAGAACGGGAAAATCACTAGGAATTACTTGAGCAGCATGTTCTGCTGATTGTCCACTCCTTCCCGTCTTCAGCTCTAGCGAACGTATTTGAGTTTGGGAGCCGGATGTCACCAAAAAAAGAAGCGTGTTATTTTTTGTTTGTTTATAGCGTGTTTATTCCGAAGCGGCGGAATTTCACATTGTACTGACCTCCATAGTAACATCAACTTTACCCTTTATTCCCAACTGTGGTGACCATATGGTTTCTTCAATGTCATGAACCTGAACATACATTTATCTCCACAGAGGACGTATATTTATCACATTACACCATTAAAAGAAACATCCAAGTAAGCAAGCAAAAAGCTTGCCTTTGATTGCCGAAACAAGGATGACAAAGAATCGTATGATTTCCCACCGGGTAAATGGGTTTGAATCCAATCCACCATTACCTAAAGGATACCTGCTTTGGTACACAAATTCAAAAATATTTTTCGAAAGTCTCTTGAAAGTGAAGTCGAAAAGTAACTAACTTCAGCATAAGGTTCAAGCTCCGTTTCAAATAACGTTGGCGTAACATGGAGCGCAACAAGCTGATTGACAACGTCATCGCGTAAATTTTTCCGCCAATGTGTCACAAGCCAATCTCGGGTGACAAGCTTGGGATCGCAACAGCGTAGAGCAGCCCAAAATTACTCACTAAGAAAAGAAGTCGAATTTTTTGAACTTCTGCACTGTTAACTAGGAATCGGAGTACGGTTTGTCATAATTTCGTAAACGTTGTAGAGACCCTACTGCTTGTAACTGATTTCATTACGTCTGTAAATGCATTGAACCTGGGAGGTCTAGGCAATTAATAAGCGTTTGTCCCAATTTTCTTGCGTGTTTTGCAAGTTATTTCATTCTATTCTAAACTTTTCAGCTCACTGAGAGATAACATCAGCAATGCGCTGATTTCAGTCAATCCCATAGGAAAATAATTACCGTTTTCGACAATAAACCATCCTTCAGAATAGGTAACAAACACGTACTTGGAACAACTCATGGACGACTATTCCAATCAGCATGGCCTTGTTGGCAACAGAAGGTCCTCGGAAGCGTTCACTCAATACGACCTGAAAAAAAACAAAGGCTTAGAAAGGAAAAAAACAATGGATAAAAATTACGATAGGTGAGAGATAAGCCGACCTTACGAGGGCACCATGTTGCACTTGTGATACTCGTACAAGGCACTAGAGTGTCCGGTGCTACAATCATAACACCATGTTCATTTGAAATCAACCAGTCCTATAACCATTAAGCTGTGTAGAACTACTTGAAAGAACACGTAAAAGTGAAGTTGACATCGGACATACCGCATTTCCCCATGGCTTCGCACCTATCAACCTAATTCGTGTGTTAGGCATGATTGCTAAATCTGCCCATTGGTCCTAAAACATTCCAGAAATAAGGAAAGATAAAGGGATAAAGCTTCGGCGTTGATTTATCCCTGAGAGATGCGTCATACATTTGGCATCGTTTAGCATCGTTTGGAGGTAATTTGACACATTTACAATGAGTCGCGGTGGTCCACCGATGTATCGAAACAGTGCTGCTATCCTCCCAGACAAGTCCGATACGAATTTGCCCACCCTGGAAGGATGGAAGGCTTGGTGAGGCTGTGACGCGGGGATCGGATCGACCCCATGTGTATTGCAGGGCCCCACGGACCACTGCGCTACACGCGTCCAAAACATTTAGCGGATAGTGCACATTATTAGTCTGTCTCAGCAATGCGGTAAGAAGTCATGAAAGACAACATCGTTCGAATTTCCACTGCGATTTTCACTAGGAATGACTAAGCCTGCTACTACCTGAAGGTATATCACGGAATCTTGACCATCACTTGTTGTGCAAATGAGATCCACGAGTCCGTCTTCATGTTTTATTTCCCTAACGGTCAATTCAACCTCAGATCCTGGGTTATTTAAAGAAGGAAATCCACGAACTCCGCTATCTGAATAAAAACATGAAGAATAAATGAATAGAAACAAAAAAAAGGCCTAGAAGTGCTCTCAGATTCCATAAGTGTGAGCGCAAATGGTACCAGCTCACCTAATTCTTTTGGAGTAGGTGCTCCCGCTTCTTGGAACTCTGTACTGAACTTTTTTTCATTTTCCTCATGCGAAGGTTCGAGTACGCGCAATGCAGCTGATCTCTTTTCTGAAAGCGTCATACACACAAGTATACATTAATGCATATACATATACATATGCATATACACATAAATATATGCGTGTTTTACCGCCTCATCGTGATTGGAAAGTGTTTGTTCATGCGTGTCGTGCTGCGATAGACAGCAAGGTATTCACCCCCCAAGGGGCTCTTCCAAGCAGAAAGAAGTCCGGTGTTTCCATCAGGAAGCCCAGCTAAGAGTAAACCAATTCCAGGATACAGCACAGTTTTGCTATCAAACTAGTCGCAAGGTGGTAAATCTCCCTTTGATCCACAAGAGTAGCGACTGCCTGTGGTGGCGACGACTTGGGGCAGACTTTGGCTAGGTTGACCTCGGGACTCCAACGAACCACAATAGCTAGGCTAAATCAGCAAAACCCCGAAAAAGTGGAAATTATGCTTGGGTCCGCAAAACCAGTGAAGACGGCCCATCCACGTATCCAAGTATGTATATATACATATATATGTATATACATATACACATATATATTTACATGCATAAGCTTCAAACGGCAAAATAGATGAACTTGTTCACCTACTAGGTGAACTGGTTGCTGATCGGCAAGACATAGAATCTTCTTTTGTACACCCTAAACGATGGAATTACCAGTGACAAGGTCCTTAGTTAAGTTCTGAAAACTCGGATACACAAAGAGGGATTACAGCCTACCTAGTATGACAGGAGCATCAAAAGAATCCTCAAACTCCGAGTTTTCCTTTTCCGCTGCTTTATCGCTCTGAAGCTCAGAATAACACTTTAGGGAAGATGCTGAAATAGACAAACGTCACAAAAATGTATGCGCATATATATATATACATATATATATATGTATATATATATGTATATATATATAGATATATGGGAGATCTGAACTACAATGAAGAAGACTCTGATATCCAAATATCCAAAAAAAAAATGGTCACTAATATTAGCAAGGAAGCTCTAGCTAAATTTCAAACAAATGGGCCATCCAAAGTGATTTACACTGTTTAATGGGTGATTCGTCCCAATCCGAGAAATCAGAGTGCACACCAGTAGCCGTTTCCACTTTTGACGTTCTAAACGTGCGTTGTTTTACTAAAGGAATGTCATCACTTTATAAAGACATAGTTTTGATGCATTACTTCATAATCAAGCTGTAAGTTCTCAGCACTAAATTCAACACCAAACAGTGGAACAGTACACAAAGGATAAATAAAAGGATAAAGCTCTCGGCGTTGATCAATCCCTGAGAGATGCGCCATGCATTCGACTTTATTAAGTGTCGTTAGAGGTGAATGAATGCATATCTGGCCTTACCAATGACTCCCGATAGCCTACCGATGTGTCCAGTATGTGCTGCTATCCTCCCAGACCAGTGTGGCACCAATTTCCCGACTCCGTACAGACGGAGGGCTTGGTGGGCCAGGAGCGCAGGATTGATCCATGCGTATTGTGGGGCGCCCCTGACCACTGCTCTACACGCGCCCCAATGTAAAAACAGACAATGTATGACGTGTAAACAAAGTAGAAAAAACCTTTGAGATGGCATGATACAAACCTCTTCACTGGTGTTGATGTTTTCTTCTTAGCTAACCCATCAGACGATTTCGTTTTCTTAGCGCCATTTGCTGAACTCCTGGACACATCGGAGAACGAGGAATTCTGTGAAGTTTGTTCGCAGAATGGTCGCTTCATCGTCGTCATTTGCTGAAAACGTTGACGCCTTACTTTCGAGTAGGATTAGTTCTTTCAACTACAACTACTCGCAACATCAGCATAAGTACAAACCGGCCATGAGGCACGATAGAACTGGACAACGAATAGTCGCAATGACCTAAAACTGTGGGCGTTAAGGCCACTAATGACAAGTATTTACGAGAACAAGAACGTCGGAATATTAAAGCACCCTAACCAGATTTTGTAGACGTTCATGAAGAGTGGTGAACGTCCAGATGTCTGAGCATTCAGAACACGTCTCAGCATCCCATCGATAACTTTTCTCCATCCCATGCTTATTTTCAAAATTTCGCGCCCGCAGCAATGTTGGCAATAGAGCACGAAATCTCCAGCTCATAATCACATCGATCGCAGGTTGGAAACCTTTGTTGCACTCACGGAAAAATTTGTCGTTGGCCAGATTACGTCATTCCGTTTACGTTCAGGATTTGTGAAATTGTCTTATTGGTTCGATTTGCTGATCGTATGGTAAGTTTCGTTTCTTCATTTTTCGAGAAAATGAAGAATAATGTACATTACATCGTAATTGGTGTAGGTAAGATGGTCAAAAACACCTGGATATCAATGTTTCAGCTCTTTGTTTTCTGCTTCTTCTTTTTTCACTGGCAATGTGGCATAGGCGAAAATCACGGAGATACTCAGACGTGAGCAAAACTTGGAACCTCGGCTGGGTAGCCCGTGGTTACACTTACCAGGGAGTTTCAGGGAGTTACGTGCTATCCACCACACCAACCGAAGACCTTGCTTTGCTTTTCTCTCACCCATCATTTTCTCTCTATCGGTGCTATCAGAATTGACCCGTCAACGGGAATGAGCCGCGTGAGTTCCTGGTAGGGGTAATCGCGGGTTCAAAGCTCAAACGGGGTCCGGAGTTTTGTTGTTATCTGAACATTCTGAAGTTTGCATTTTACGTCGTACCCTGCCATGAAAAATTGTAGACAGTAAGTAAAAGTCAAAACATTGTTTCTACAGTGTTCATATCCTTCTTTCTTAGTTATTTCATGTAGTAGAATTCAACTGTTAAAGGCAGTTTGTTGTGTGAGTGACCTGTCTGTGTTATGACGTTATACTACTTGGTCAGTTGGATACTTGGATGGCGCGTCTTCATTGGTTGTGTGAACCCCGGCATAATCTCCACTTTGTCGGAGTTTTGCTGGTTTAGCCGTTATAGTTCCCTGGAGTCCCAAGGTCAGCCTGGCCAAAGTTTGTCCCTGGTCCTCACCACCAACCATAGGCAGTCGCCGCCCTTATGGATCAGAGGGGATTTGCCACCATGCGACTAGTTTGATACGAGGGCAGTGTTAGAACCTGCTATTGGTTTACTCCTAGCTGGGTTTCCTGATCGAAACGCCGGACTCCTTTTCAGCTTGGAAGACTGCTAGAGAGATGAATCCCGTCGCTGTACATCGCAGCCGGACACCCAGGACCACCTACTAGCTACAATGAGGCGGTAAACCGTTGGGAGGTATGACGTTATAAAGGCGTGCGAATTCATTAGTTACTGGCTTACCAACAACTTTTTCCTCGAAATTACAACTCCTCTAGCGAACTGCTTTAATCTTTTGGCGCACTGACTTTTTAAGGATTATGAACGTTTGCGCAGAAAAGGGTGAGTCAGGATTGATTAAATAATCACTACACTAAAGCTGAAATCACAAACAGGGAATCCCGAAGACACTAAATGAACCAGTATATTGATATCGTTACAATTGTCTTTGTCATTATTACTTCTAATGTCGTCACGTTCCCCATATTAATGCTTACGCGACGACGTGACTTCTGTAGGAGGCATTTCACAGAGGAGACAGCACCCAGATGACGTCCATAGGTTTCACAATAAGCAGAGCGAAAAATTAGACGTCGTGCCGCTTGTTACTCTTAATGCGCTACTCTCCGAGTCACCGATATGAGTTATATAAGAGTCATCTTCTTCTGATTGTTTATTTTGGCGCACAGAATCCTTTTCCTTAGCTTGTTTTAATCAATCTATAACCGATTGAACACATGTTGTTGCTTGCGTCAGGAAAGGCCTGTTCTAAGCTTGGAAATATACAGAAAACTTTTTCTTGAAAAAGTTTATTGATCGGCTATTTGACTAGCAATTCACTGTTGTTTCAACTGTAATCGATTTAGTAAACTGTACTTACTATACGGCATGCTGGTGCGTGTAGCGCACTAATCGGGCGCGCCCTGCAATGCACACGGGATCGATCCCTGCGCCCCAAACCCACCAAGCCCTCCATCCTTCCGGGGTTGCAAAACTGGCACGAGACTTCTCTGGGAGCATAGAAGCACTGGCTCGATACATCGGTGGGCCGCCGCGAGTGATTCTAAAGGCCAGGTATGCATTCAGTCACCTCTAAACGATCCTTAATGAAGTCAAATGCATGGCGCATCCCTCAGGGATTGATCAACGCCGAGAGCTTTATCCTTTATTTTTTTTTTTACGGAATGTGCTTGTATGTAAAATATGGAGACAGGATGCCAGTGTGTTTGTAAGATGAACCACGGTGACATATAGCAAACAATAACTTACAACCATTCCTGCTCATAGAACGATGAAGCAATGCCTCTTCTAAAGTTCCGTTATGTTCACAGCACTTCATGTATTCTTGTTATCGAAAAATCGTTCTTTGTTATTAGAGAGCCAGCAATTCCGTTAAAGAAGATTAGGCGTCGTCGCCAACATTCACGGGAACTGTTAACTTTGTGATCGCTGTGGAAAAGTGTATACTCGCTCACGATTTGAAAGCAGCGATACTAGTTACTAGAAAGGCAAAGCAAGGGCCTCATTGATGCAGTGTGTAACACGCGAGCTCCCGAAAGGGGTAGTCGTGGTTCAATCTGGCCTGGTGTCGAAGTTTTGCTAATATGTTAGAATCATTGTGGCTGCATTTCGCATAGTACCCTTCCGTGAAAAATTACGATAGACAGTAAATAAAAGGTTAACCTAGCGTTACTGGTTTTTCTCGACAGCAAACGACAAGTTTTCAGTAGTTAGAAGGATTATGTGCTTGAGAACACCACGAACCTATAAAAGAAGTCTTACATTATCCACAAAAACATTTCTATCAGCATATGGGAACCATTCTCCAAGTGGTAGCTCTTTTCTATATTATCGCATGTTTCATGCAGTAACTATATTTACTGGTAACCACATCTATCCTTGCGCATTCTGCATATGGTTTCCTAGCCACCATCTCGTTCACCTGCCTCGTAGATGGCTCAAAGGAACTCTGTAACGTCTTTCTAATAACTGTTTTTCTCCGTTCTACAGTTCGGACACTGAAGAAACAGCAGCCAGCTGCAGGCCTTCATCGGCATCCGCCGTTATAATTAGCTTTTTGCATAAGCTACTGCATCGGTATCATATGTATCTCCTTTAAAAGCTTTGTGTAGTCTTCACAAATATTTTGGGGCCTCTCTTTCAGCATTGTCTCTGGTTCGTTCTGTCAAACTCCGCCTATTCTAAGGCGAATATAAACTTCTTCATCAGTTATTAGCTCAGTGCTTTCCATAGTTCTTTCCACAGTTCCCTCCAGTACGCTCCTTATAAATTCTCTCTCCTTCTTGCTACTGACGCTTGTATCCTTCATCCTTCTGGATATCGCCACACTGTTAATATTGTACCTGAGCTTTATATGTCTCCATTTACAAGCGGTGTTGTCACTCATGCATGATGTCTGTGTTTGATATCGTAACTTCGTAGGATTTAAAAGAAAAATTACAAGTAATGGGTCAAAAAAAATATGAATCTTTGTACGGCACATGAATGACGACATGAACCACATATAATTTGTGCACTTTCTCAAATAACGTCTTCCGATACCTTATATGCGTACATGCGCATACTATCGAAATACGATGAGAATTTTATGCCACGAAGTCCAATGAATGCATGGTGCATTCCTCAGGGGTTGACGAACGTCAAACGTTCCATACCTTATCTTCTATAAAGATCATTCTCCATAAATGTCGAATATTCACGATCTATTTATGCAATTCTGTCGTATTGCGTGGTCATCTTCTAACGGCAGGGTTTTCTGTAAAACTTTTCCATAATAACTTCATTGATGTTGCGATATTTGCAAAACTCCGGATCGCAGGTGTTTGCGGTGGGGAACGAACGCGGTGTTGTCCTTTCCGGGGAGTAACGCGTTCACCACCACACCTTGCGGGTCCATCTGCGGTCCGGATTTTTGCAAATATCTCAGCATCATTGAAGTTATATTTCGCAATATACCCTGCCATTAAAAAGAGTAGGCAGTAAATAATGAGTAAAAATTTTCTATAATAATCTGATAAACTTTTTCTGAGAGGTTCTCCTATGCTGCTTATCTGGATGGAGCATCCGCGGCTACCCTACCGTGCTTGAATCAGCTTTATCAGATCGTATTGCTGAAAAAAGTTCTGTCACCTCCTCTTCAGAAACCATCTCTTACCTAATCTGGCTAAACTGCACCCATTACAGAACGAATATAAGCAACTTCTTCGGTTAACTGGAGGAGTCCTTTCCACGAATCTTTTCCGCGGTTTTTTCTACTGACATCTCAGAAAGTCCTATGTCTTCTCCACAGTTTTTTCCACAGCTCTCACTCTACGACTTCTCTCCATCAGTGTCCTTACAGTCTCGTTTTTTGTAGTGGCTCTTGTATCCTTCACTCTTCTGTATATCGTCACACCGTTATTATTGTACTGCTGTTAGTGTATATGAACGGTCATAACACACGCTTGGAATTGTGTTCTGTTACACCTCACGAAACCTACCGCATGGCATATTCACACAAGGCGTTTAGTGACTTTCGTCAATCTTTTTTTTTAAAATCTTCTTTCGCTGTTTATTACATGCCTCTCCCTTGACTCCATCGACTTTATTCATTATAATGGATCTCCGTGTTTGTCGTTTTGGATTAATTTGCTTTTTGTTAACAATTGATGGTTACGAAATATTGCTTATTGTAGGTCTC